AGTGTAGGTCTGCTTCACATTCCTGCCTCTGGCACACTCTATGTCGTAAGGCATTGTCGTAGGGCACTCTTCGGATGTTATCAAATCCTTACTCAACCGCTGATAAAGACAAACGAACCAGTTTAGAGCGTAGAAAAGCCTTTTGAACCGCAATAAAGTGGTCTTACATTACGCCCTAGGGATTGTCATCAGACAGGCCATAGACTGGCGAAGTTGCAGGCGGGACAGAAGCTGGAGCAGACAGGCGGGAGCCATGGTGGTGATTGACGGCCGCCTGTCACTCACAATCTCTCAGGGACAGCGACAAGCTCGAGGGAGTTGAAGAGCACGGAGCACAGCAGTCAATATATAGCTAGGCCTTAGTCGACACGGACAGTAACCGGTTAATCTGTCGTCTCAAAAACTTCGCCGCCGCTGTCACAGCGACAAGCTCGAGAGAGTTGAAGAGCACGGAGCACAGCAGTCAATATAGCTAGCTTGAGCTGACAGGGGAACAATAACCGATTAGCCTCACTTCTCGAAAGCTTCGCCGTCGCTGTCACCTATCGATGTCTCTTCTAGTCGACTGAAAGGACTAACAGGAAGTTGTCTATCTGACCGCTCTTTGGGAGGATGGACCCGTTGAAAAAAACGCTGGAGTCTCAAGCATCGGTGCTTTCGAGACTGGTCAGAAAGGAAATGCTTACGTCCTATCGTGGCGCATCATGCGTCACATCATCGCAATTTCCGCGCGAGCTTACCCACGCCTCACCTGCTTTTCCTCCATTCTCTTGTCCAACGCTCCCTGATTGAAGACGGGGACTGTCATGTTTTGCGGATTTCACATCGTCGTTGGATTCTCCTCTAGGTGCACGTAGAAGAGAATTCGTCTGAGATGACTGAAACACGAAACTGGCATCATTACTGCAGAGTAACTGAGTGGTGCGTTAGGCAAGTCGGCCTTGGCCTGGCCTTTCTCAATCCTGTCGCACCTACTTGATCAAAAGAAGACACGAAACCTGGTGGGGGGGATTGTACCGTGACTCGGTTGTACCAGACCAACTGACGTTACCGAGCTATTGACTGTCCTCTACTCACAGTTCTTCTGAAGTGCTTGGTTGCACTTGGCTGGAATTGTTCTACCTTATCAATGTGCTTCCACGGAGACGAAGCGAGGCTGGTGCAGCAATGACAAGGCAATTTGCAAGAAATAAACAGATTATACTCTTCTGAGTCCGCTCTTTGGAAAAAATATCTTCTGAGTCCTCCCTACTGCACAGCTGCTTTGACGTCTTCAGTCATTGCTCCTTACATTTGAATCAGCTTCCGTTGAACTCAACTGCCAGCCATGCTTATACATCGGCATCTCTCCTCCCTCAACAACAACCCCTTCCCACCCTCTCCTCCTCCACCCTTCTCCATCCCCATCCTCGCCTTTGCCCCTGATATCACATCCTCCTCCTTTCCCAATGTTACTTCCTCTCTTGAACCGGATTTCTTTGATTCTGCAACCTTTCTCCGGGCACTGACCATATCGGCCCTATTGGTGGTGATCGGTGGCCTCGTCGGCTTGATTATATTCCGACTTGCTGTGGTTTGGATCGTGTGGACGAGAACGCGCCACGTGTCACCCTGGCGCCTCCTTGTCACACTGCCGTTCCTCCACCCTTTTGGTCTGGACCCCGATGCATCAGCCTCGGCCGGACGACCTACTTCTACCCATACTCAAGGAGTAGCAGAGGCAACGGAGGCAGTGATTGATGTGCAGAGTGCTTCAACAAATGAGGTATGCAAATTTGATCCGACTCGATGTTCGCTCGAGTCAGATGAATGCTTGACGACTCAATGTTCATCTCAGTCGTCGATAAGCAGTAGAGACGAGGTAACAAGTTCCTCCATCATATGTCTGCCTGCTTTGCTGACCTTTGCTTCCTTCAGTTTTGACCCCCTCAGACTCACGCCCAACCTGCATACGAGTAGCTTAAGATAATTGTAGCAGTTACTTCAAATTAACTAACCATCTTGACAAATTCAGTTAGGTTTTTTCCCTTCTTTCCACCTCATTCCTTTCACTTGCAGGGACAAGAAGTGGCAGCACGACCTGGGAAGCTGGTGAAAAAGGGAGCGAGCACGCAACAACTGGCACAGCTTGTTTCTTACCCCATTGGGGCTGAGCAAGATGAGAAACAAGAGTGAGTGTATATGTGTCTGTGACCGGTACCTATTTGGGGACTCGCAAACGCAATACTACACCAATTCATGGCTTTCCGCATCGCATCTGCCATCATAGAGTCTGCATCTTCCATTGTTCCTGTGCATCTTTCCCTGACCATGAAATTGCTCCTCCATTCTCTTCCCTGTGCACCCTTCCCTGCTGCTCCCTCTGCTCTGTGTATACTCTAACCTGTGTGCACCAGGTGTATTGTCTGCCTCTCTGAGATGGTTGCTGGGGAATCTGCAGTCACTCTTCCATGCTGTAACAAGTCATTTCATCAACAATGCATCACAGCGTGGCTTGCAACAGCTGGAGCATGTCCTCTTTGCAGGAGCAATCCGTTTCAATGAATTGTGTCACCTTACCATTCTCATGACGTGTGTACAGTAAACTATTGCTGGGTAAACAGCCTTCTTGCCATGGCAATACCATAGAATATCGCCTCCTCAGCCTTATGTGCCTGTCCAACCATCTGCAATGTCCCAGCTGTTGCAGCCTCTTTCAGCCACCTCAGCAACAAAGCACCACTGCAATAATCATCGTCCCTCACCCAGCTTCAATAGGTGGGCAACCACTGCATTGCGTAATGAGAGAAGTGGGGTATTCACTATTTTGGGTACAATATGCATGGAAATTGTCCGACATACGGTCCAATATATACCAGCCAAGTCATCAACCATAATTCAGCCGGAAAATGTCGTTGAGGACGTAGAAGCTTCCAGCAGGTGTTGGCATCAAGTGAAACATCTGTACAGAAGAAACGCGCCGAAAATTAGGGAACTTCCTTTAGAAAGACACGAGGGAGCAAGCCGAAGATTAGTGAAGCTCAGATGGCAGCTATACACGATGTGCGTAGACTAGGGTTTCCAACGAAGAAATTGCGGAAAACACGCAGATCAGAGGAGAAGACGGCTAAATACTGAACCTACCTGGCTAAATTTGAGCGGATGCTCCTGATCTGCCAGTTTCAAGCTCCCACTGACAAACACGACCATTCCGCCTCCGGGACCCGACGGCTGGCAATCGACCGTGCTAACAACGTGCGTGCAGGACTGGAAAGGCAAGCTCGAGATCTTGTTCTGGATGTTTTGCACTCCCTGGAACTTCTCACCCTCAAACGTCAGCATCGACTGATCCTGGTATAACGTGTACAGGTTAGTGCGAGCCGTGTCGAAGGTGGTGTAGTAGTGCTGCACGAACGCCTTGGCCAAGGCATCTGGATCCATGGCTACTGACTGATGCAGCCGAACCGGAGACGCTGCAACGACAGGAAATGAAGAAATCTAGGAACTACGGACGTCGGTCTTGTCAAGTCTCCAGATTCGTGCAGCACGAGCTTCAGCTTGGAGCAAGAAGAGATGGGGGTGGAGGAGCACTAGGAAAGACGAAAACCCTGAAGTTCGTACGCTTTAGTGAGCAAAACCACTGTAGACTTGGCTGCAAAAAGAAAGTAGCGAATGTTGTACTGAAGTTGGATAAGTGAAATAGGTTTTGACGATAGGATTTTCTCCAGGTTTCTCTTTCAGGTTCTTGTTTCTTACCGGTCGGGTTAGGTGCAGTGCGTTCCGAAGCGTTACTTGATGTTCCGAAAACATATCAAATTCACGTAGCCGGGTTCAGACCGGTGAGAAAGTATTGAAAACGGTGAATCTCATAAACATCCCAGTTTGACTAGCACCCAGCCGCAGCCAAAGCTGAACACCGAGGCAAACAATCCAGGGATGATCGAGCCGACTCGAACATAATCTGTTATCAGCGTCGACAAGCATCTGAGCCAGATCCCTAGTCTACTTACTCTGCGCATTAGTGGTGCAATACCAACCAGTTGCCTTCTTTCGAAATCCTATGGCTGCCGATCACGGCGACAGCAGCAATCTAGCAGGGCCGGAGAAGAATCACAACGACACGGAATCAGCTGAAGAAGGGGAGAGGAGTCCTTCGGGCAATGAACCTGCTGGAAGCAACAGCGATGTATCGGCTTCTAACTCAGAAACGAAGCAGGAAGAATCAGCCAAGGAGACTGCAGACAAGGAGAAGACGGAGGGGGGAGAGCAGGAAGGAAGAGAGGGAAAAGAAGGGGAGGAAGGGAAGAAGAGGCAGAGGAAGATGAGATCGACCCGCAGAATCCGCGAGGACGGTTGTTGATGGCGAAACATGCAGAGTACATTAAGAATCTGGACAAAGTAAGTGATTCAGTGAACGGAAGAAGAGGCCGAGGATGAAGAAGAGGCAGAATCCGCGAGGACGCTTACTGATGGCGAAGCACGCAAAGTACATTAAAAACCTGGATAAAGTACGTGATTGAGGGTGCTTTTACAGGCGTGTCTTGAATTGAAACACACCGCTTGCTGATGGCGAATCACGCCAAGTACATAAAAAACCTGGACGACAAAGTACGTACGTGCTCCAGGGAAATACTTCTCGTTTTTCTCGTTTTCGTTTTTCATACCTCTCGTTATTTACTTCTCGTGATTCACGGAACCTGGGCAAAGTACGGTATAAGCTCCTTTTAAGGGACCTGTAGAAGGTAAGTTTCCCAAGGAACCTAGACGGGGTACTTGCTCTGGGAATCATTTTGCTTCTCCGGCCGCATTCTCTCTGTAGAAAACGGGGAATTGAGTACGTGGCGACGGAGACTCTGAGGATGAGCGGAGCCTACTGGAGCTTCTGTTTCTGATAACATCCGCTGTTTCTGTTCTTGAACTCTCACTATGTAAACAAAAGCTTTCTTGTACATATATTTGTTTTTTATTTGTTACTGTAGAAAACAGAGGGGATCGAGTACGTGGCGACAGAGCATCTCAGGATGAGCGGGGCATATTGGGGGTTGACAGCAATGGACCTGATGGGGAGGCTGTCGGACATGCACAACACCGCCATGGTGCCTTGGCTGCTCTCCTGCCAGCAACCCGATGGTATGTGCGTGTAAGTGTGAGAGTGTGTGAGTGTGGGATGATTGGAGCCACTCTCAGCCCTCCTCCAATGTTTCCACCAGCTGGTTTCGGTAGCAGCATGGGGCATCATCCTTACCTCCTCCACACACTCAGGTGGTTTCGGTGGCAGGTGGTTTCGGTAGCAGCATGGGGCATCATCCTTACCTCCTCCACACACTCAGGTGGTTTCGGTGGCAGGTGGTTTCGGTAGCAGCATGGGGCATCATCCTTACCTCCTCCACACACTCAGGTGGTTTCGGTGGCAGGTGGTTTCGGTAGCAGCATGGGGCATCATCCTTACCTCCTCCACACACTCAGGTGGTTTCGGTGGCAGGTGGTTTCGGTAACAGCATGGGGCATCATCCTTACCTCCTCCACACACTCAGGTGGTTTCGGTGGCAGGTGGTTTCAGTAGCAGCATGGGGCATCATCCTTACCTCCTCCACACACTCAGGTGGTTTCGGTGGCAGGTGGTTTCGGTAGCAGCATGGGACATCATCCTTACCTCCTCCACACACACAGTGCCGTGCAGGTCCTCATTTTCACTCTCTTCCACTTTCCTACTCTCTTCCTCTCTCTCCCTGCCTTCCCCATGCAATCCCATACTATTCATGCCTTTCTTCCCACCAGGTGGTTTCGGTGGCAGCATAGGCCATGATACTTACCTCCTCCACACACTCAGTGCCGTGCATTTCCTCATGTTCTTCCACTTCCCTACTCTCTTCCTTTGTTCTTCTCTCCCTCTTTCCTCTCCCCCGTAATTCTTCTGCTCTCAGGTGGCTTTGGTGGCAGCAAAGGACACGATTCGCATATACTGTACACGCTCAGTGCCGTCCAGATCCTCATTCTCCCTCTCTCCTTTTCTCTCCCATACTTTCCCTGCCTTCTTTCCCATCAGGTGGCTTTGGTGGCAGCAAGGGACATGATTCGCATCTACTGTACACGCTCAGTGCCGTCCAGATCCTCATGCTCTCCCTCTCTCCTTTTCTCATCTTACATTCCCCATACGTTCCCTGCCTTCTGTCCCATCAGGTGGCTTTGGTGGCAGCAAGGGACACGATTCGCATCTACTGTACACGCTCAGTGCCGTCCAGATCCTTGCACTACTGGACAAACTGGACGCTGTAGACGCCGACCGCATCGCCACCTGTCAGTCTCTCATTCGTCGATCCGTGCCTTTAGGCTTCTCTGTGCTGTCTCGATTTCTGTTTTCCATGTTTTCAAATCTGATGCCTTCTCCAGGCAATTACTCTTATCTTACTTGACGTATCATCCACCGACTTTTACGCACCACGCATAAAGCATATGTTTGGCTCCAATCAGGTTTCAGAATATCGCTTTCACTTGACTTTTGGGGTTTCTGTTTGTGTTGTTTTTTTTTTTTTTTGCTTTTTTTTTTGGCGTCTATGGCAGATGTGGCAGGGCTACAGCAGCCGGATGGATCATTTATAGGGGATGAATGGGGGGAGGTGGATACACGGTGAGTGGCGACACACAGCGGGTGGGTGGGCAGAAGGCACTGTGTAGGCGGCAAGTGGGTGGGCATGTATGCCATCATCAACATTCCCGCAGCCATCCACTGCGATCTTCTACTCTGCGTGCCACAATCCTTCCACTTACCTCACCACCATTTACCCCCCACCCCGTTCCCCTCCCCTTCCCCCCCCCCCCGCCCCCCTTCCCCCTCTCCCTCCCAATTTCTCATACTGCGCCATCTCCTGCCTCTCTCTCCTCGATCGCATGCACGCCATCAATCTCCCCACAGCCGTGCGATCATTGTTCACAATGTTCCTGCATCCCTCCCCCCACGCCCGTCCGTACTCCCCCCACCCCCCCTCCAGCTTCTCCTACTGCGCCATCTCCTGCCTCTCCTTGCTTGATCGCATGCACGCCATCGACCTCCCCGCAGCCGTCCGATTCATCGCCAGCTGTCAGAACTTTGACGGCGGATTCGGGTCCGTTCCGGGTGGCGAGTCACACGCTGGGCAGAGTGAGTGCGATAGACATTTACATGATAACTCACGTGCTCCACAATACATGCTGTCAATGCCAGATGTCAGAACTTTGACGGTGGATTCGGGTCCGTTCCGGGTGGCGAGTCACACGCGGGGCAGAGTGAGTGCGACAGATCTCTGCATCTGCAACAACATAATATAGAATGGGTGCGATATGATGAGGGGGTCACTTTTGAGAATTCCCAAGTGTGACTCCCATATGTGTGCGATGTATTGGTACTGTATAGAGCTCTGAATCTGTAACAACTTTTGAGTCGACTCAAAAGGCAGAGTGAGTGCGATAGATCTCTGCATCCGCAACAACATAATACATATATGATGAGGGGATCACTTTTGAGAATTCTCAAGAGTGACTCCCATGCGTGTGCGATGTATTGGTACTGTATAGAGCTCTGAATCCGTATAAACTTCTGAGTCGACTCAAAAGGCAGAGCGAGTGCGATAGGTCTCTGCATCCGCAACAACATACATATATGCTGAGGGAGACGCTTCTTCAATTTCTCAAAAGTTACTCCCATACATGTATGATGTATTGTTACTCTATAGATAGACATCAGCCAGCTGTCGGAATTTCGGCGGCGGTGAGTCTGACACGAGGCAACTGAGAGTGTAAGAGAGTGTGAGAGAGTGTGAGAGGGAGTGTAAGTGTGTCGTGTGCCATTGTAATGAGGTGACTTTTGAGTCGACTCAAAAGTCAGCACGAGGCAGATGAGAGTGCGAGAATGACCTCTCGCATAAATATTTTTCTTCATCTGTGTATCTGTATGACTGAAATCATAGTGTGTATGCTCTTAAGTATGTAATTGTTCTCCCCCCCCCCCCCAATCCATCCAAATCAGTCTTCTGCTGCGTGGCGGCACTAGCAATAGCTGGCGCGCTCTCATTGGTCGATCGGGATCTCCTGGGCTGGTGGCTGTGTGAGCGCCAAGTACCGTCAGGAGGGCTCAACGGGCGGCCTGAGAAGCTGCCAGACGTGAGTACCTACCTACTCTCTTCCCACAATGTGCCTACCTATCACGCTGCCTCCTGGGCTGGTGGCTGTGTGAGCGCCAAGTACCGTCAGGAGGGCTCAATGGACGATCTGAGAAGCTGCCAGACGTGAGTAGCACAGTCTGCCTGCCTGCTACCACCCTGAATGTTGGGCTGGTGGCTGTGTGAGCATCCCTCTCCTGGGCTGGTGGCTGTGTGAGCGCCAGGTGCCAGCAGGAGGGCTTAACGGGCCGCCTGAGAAGCTGCCAGATGTGAGTAGCTACCTACTGTATGCCTACCACCACCCTGCGTACCTACTGTCTCATTCCCTCTCATCCCCTCTCATTCCCTCTCACTCCCTCTCATTCCCTCTCATTCCCTCTCATTCCCTCTCATTCCATCTCATTCCCTCTCATTCCCTCTCATCCCCTCTCATTCCCTCTCACCCCCTCTCATTCCCTCTCATTCCATCTCATTCCCTCTCATTCCCTCTCATTCCCTCTCATTCACTCTCATTCCCTCTCATCCCCTCTCATCTCCTCTCATTCCCTCTCATCCCGTCTCATCCCCTCTCATCCCCTCTCATCCCCTCTCATCCCCTCTCATCCCCTCTCTCCCCCTCTCATTCCTTCTCACTCGCTCTCATTCTCATCAGGTGTGCTACTCCTGGTGGGTGCTGTCAAGCCTTGTGCTCATCGATAGAGTGCATTGGATTAGTGCAGAGAAGCTTCAGCACTTCATTCTACAGTGTCAGGTGATTGCAACAGTCTCAGGTGATTACAACAGTGTCAGGTGTTTTCATCAGTGCAGAGAAGCTTCAGCACTTCATTCTGCAGTGTCAGGTGATTGCAACAGTTTCAGGTGATTGCTACAGTTTCCAAGTGCTCTGAATGCCACTAGACCAATCAGGTGTTACTATAGGCTTTGAGGCGCCTCAAAACAACGCTACATCCCTGCCTTCCCACAAATCATCCCACCATCCATCTATCCCACCCATTCGTGCCACTATGTACGCCCACAGGACGAGGAGAGGGGCGGCATCTCGGACCGACCGGATGACATGGTGGATGTGTTTCATACCTTCTTCGGTATTGCTGGTGAGTGGGTAGTGGTCGTGCATGTAGGGAATAGATTCAATGCATGTGGACCGACAACATTAACAGTTTGAACCGTGGAACCATCTCTGACCGACCAGGCGACATGGTGGATGTGTTCCATACCCTCCATACCATCTCCTCCAATATCAATCTCTCTCCCAGCTTGTGCACTTCCTGTGGATGTATCACCTTTCCGCTTTTCCCACTATCCTTCCCTCCATCCACCTATTCCCCTCCCCCAATTCATCGCAGGCCTGAGTCTGTTGGAGTACCCTGGTCTCAAGCCAGTGGACCCAGCATATGCACTTCCTGTGGATGTTGTCGATAGGGTTTTTAGAGACAGGGAGTTGAAGCACCTGCAAGCTTAGTGTCAAACTTTGGTTCTCTCCGAGTGCTTACCGGTAAGATGATGTGCCCTTGAAGAAGAAAACTATATCGCAAATCGTACGGCATATTTGGGCACGAGATTTGAAGGGAGCTGCTTGGAATTTCGAGTCGCAAAGACATTGTTTTTATTATTTTCACTTGTTGCTTATGAGTTCGAAACAACAGACCAGCTCTGCCAGGTGGTTGCGGGAATGTATATAGCAGTGAGGCATCACTAAGATGTAGAAAACTGAATGCACTCACAAGATCTTTCGTTTCTGTAGTCTTACCGAACTTTCTAGTATCGAGACATCACCTCGCGGGCAATCCAATGAAGATTTTGGAGATTCGGAGACTGTCGTGGCAGACGAAGCATCCGTCGTCATTTCTGGTTACAAGGAGCCCAACTCTCGCGACGTGGATCTCACGCGCAACCAGAGATACCCACGTCATTTGATTTAGCCATTCCAGGTCAGCTCTCAAGTGCCTTACGACATGTCAGCACCAGCACCAGTACCCAGCGCCCTAGGAAGCCTCGAAGGGAGTTGCGCCCTTCGCTCCGCAACGACCGCCTCCTCCCGCACCCGACCTGGCGGAAATCCCTTACCCCATATCTTCCACAAACCAGTTTCCGCTTCGGGTCACAGCAGCCAATCGCTCGTTGTGTATACTTGCCTGACCGTCAACGCCAGGCCCGGAACTCCCACATTACTGGTTCAGTGGTTGCCGAGCCGAACAAAGTCCCTGATCCCTTTCCCGCCGGCTTTTCATGCCCCACGAGAGTTCCGCCCCGCCCCCGCCAACCAACTCCCGCATTTCTATTTCCCATTAGGGCGTGTGTTCTTGATGGTCTGAAATCAAAATGGAGTTCGAACTTTAACCGGTTACCCGTTTCGTCAATATCGTCTGACAGGGTTGCGACATTCGCCAAAACTAGGCCAAAAGATGGAAACGCGCCTGGACACTGAACACAGGTCGAATTCATGTTCGAACGTGAGAGTGCACGTTTCTGCAAACGTGTGTTCTTTTGCACACGTTTGTTGATGCTGCGAAATTAGCGAAGTTGAAGAAGATCCGCGAGGGCTTTTTGTAGCCCCATCGACCCCGTTTCACCTGACGCGGACGTGGCGCACCATCAAGAAGCCAAACATTGTAACCTACGAATCATGTACGCGACTGGGGCCCTGCTGTATAGAGTCGACCTTCGACAGTCGACCATTGGATGTCACATTTGCTTGGCGTGAAAGTTGGTTGTTCCATTCGCCATCGAAGGTTAAAATAGTCGACTGCAGATCGACCAAAGTTCAACTTCCCAAATTCGAATTAAAACGCCAAACTTTACAATTTGAGCCGAAGGACACACGCCCTTATTCCATTTCGCTTCCTAGCAGCACAGCAGCAGATTCCACAAATCAAGCCCGCAATTTGCCTCATTATTAGCCGTTTCTTGGAATACCTGCTTCTCCCTTCGCGTCTCTCGCTCTTTCGGCAGCCACCTTGCTCCCAAGCAGCTTCGGTAATCTCTGCTTGACTGTCGCACAATGGCTGCCGTGTCGCTCTCCTCCTCCCTCAGCAGCATCGCTGGCGCGAAGCTCGCTGTCGCGCAGTCCACGTCAGCGAAGACCTCCCGGGTCCAGGCGGTGCGTTGCGTCGCCGGACCTTCCGCTTCTTCCGGCGAGAAGCGCGCAGAGGAGAAGAGCATCTGGGAGAAGCTAGGAACCGGCGCAGCGGCGTTCGGACTCGCCGCGGCGCTTCAACTGACTCCGTCAGCTGTTGACGGAGCTAAGGCTGACGAGTTCGCAATCCTGCGGTCGCCGCCGCCGCTCGAGTCGCACTATTACGACGATGCGAACGTTCTCAGCCGAATCACGCGGTCCGACATTAAGAAGCTTCTGACGGATTTGGAGGAGCGAACTGGTTACCACATTGACGCTGTAACCCTGCGTAAGATTGCGGTAAGTTGACAAAAATCCGCGTTTGTAACTCATCAGGAAACGTTCAATAAGCTTGAACGAGCCCATGCAGAAACGAAAATGGCAATTTTCGTTGCGATATAACTCCCGCTCTTACGAGATGCCTTTTGAGTTGGCTCAACAGTCGTCTTGCAGCGTCAGTTTCACGCATTGCCAGCATGAGCTCCACTAGTAGACGTTCCAGCAACGTATTGACACAGCATGAGTATCTTGTCTCGGTTGGAAGCTCGCCAGATTCTGACACTACCTGATTCGGTTCCACTGCCAGAGCGAAGCTAGGTCGCGCTGTTCTTACTTTTTTTTTTTTTCAGAACGAAATTCTTGTCCTCCTATTCCGGGATGGCTGGCATGCCACCCGGGGGACATTGCCACCCCTCAGCAATTTCCGAGGGAGATTGTTCATCCCAACGAGCAGCCACTTGTTGGCATACTCTCTCAATATTCTCCATTATATCTGTGTTCCGTTTCCTCCCCAAATCAGGGCAAGGGCGACGTGTTTGAGCTCGCGCATAAGATCCTCGAGTCGTGGTACCCCACGGTGGAGAAGGGCGACAAGCGCGGCGTCGTTCTCCCCGTCACTCTCTACTCTGCGTCACATCTCCTTTCGTTCCCTTCTGTTCGCAACCCCCCCCCCCCCCCCCCCCCCTTCTCCCCCCTCCGATTCAGGGCAAGGGCGATGTCTTTGAGCTGGCGGATAAGATCCTCGAGTCGTGGTACCCCACGGTGGAGGAGGGCGACAAGCGCGGCGTCGTTCTGCTCGTCACCTCGCAGAAGGAGGGCGCGGTTGCTGGCGGTCCCACCTTCGTTGACACAATCGGGGATGACGTGTTTGAAGGGGTCGTGTCTGAGAATCTCCCAGGTGAGACTGTCTTTTCTGCCTTTCTTTTCAGTGCTTTCCTTCAGTCTGTGCAGCTGTCGCCTTCTTTTTGGCCTCACAACTGAGAACGAAGCATTCTATAACAAAGCGTTTCACGTTAACTCAACTACCCTCTCCCCCTCCCCTCCTCCCCCCGCCCCTCTTCCCTCTCCTTTCCTATCCTCCTTTTCCCCTTCCATTTCGGTTCATTCTAAACTCCTCCACTCCTCCTTTCCCACCAACCCCCTCAGTCCCGCCTCCCTCCTATCTCACCCCTCCTCTCAGTAGCGTTACAACTCCCAAATGTATCAACTCCCACTCCCCTATCCCTGCCCCCTCCCCGTACACCTTCCTCTCCCCCTGCAGTCTTGGCCACTGAGGAGCGTTACAACGATGCCATGTACTCGAAAGTGAAGCGCCTTGTAGTGCGCGTCAACAAGAAGTCAGAGCCTACATTCAAGAAGCCTCAACAATCCCCTTTCCGTCCTCCCACCCCCTCCTACCTCCCCGCTCCTTCATCTCAGTTTTGGCCACTGAGGAGCAATGCAACCAGGCCATGTACTCTACAGCGAAGCGCCTTGTATTGGGGATTGATAGGGAAGTGATTGTTATGGCACCTCACACACTCCCTCCCACTCCTAACGCCCGCCCTACCCTTGTTTCTTCCCACAGTTCTGGCCACGGAGGAGCGTTACAACGAGGCCATGTACTCTACAGTGAAGCGCCTTGTAGCGAGGATCGACGGGCAGCCGGACATTCCGGGTCCCAAGTTCAACGACACGAAGCGGGAATCCAACTACAAGACGCGCGAGGAGACGGAGTCGAAGCGCGACCAATTCACGACGGTCGTTGGGGGTCTGCTGGTTATCGCGTTTGTGGTTCCGATGCTCCAGTATTACGCATACGTTGCCAAGAAGTAAAGAGAGAGATACGGTATTACAGTTTGGAACGCAGTGATGTGTGCTTGACAGTTGCAGACCTTAGTGTTTGCTTTCTTATTTTTGTTTGTTTTTCTGAGTTGTAAAGTACAGTTTCGCATGGTATTGGGATGCTATCACCAGGTCAAATGATGTGCAGGCAATAACACTGTGCAGGCAGAAGATCCAGCAATTTCTAACAAATAAAAGGCAGAAACTAACATGCTATCATTCTACTGCACTAAGCACCTTATTCAAGCGGAGGAAACTTTCCGGTATTGTTTTGGTCACGCAGTAGCTCACTAACGGCGAAAGCGAACACTTCTTTGAGGTGTCAGCCTCTCCCGAGCCTCATCCAATCACCTTCGATCCCGCCAAAACCTGACAGACTAGTCCTGCCCGCAAACATATCAGCCATTCATCGAATGTCCATCTAAAACCTGGCCATGCAACTTGCATACTTCTCCCAACCCGTACGTTCAGGCAGGAGATTAACTCCTCTTCAGACAGCAACTAAAGGTTCTAGGAGGAAGTAATTGAGTCTTTTCACTTCAGCATAGGATCTTCTCGTTACACTTCTCCGTCAGTCGCGGTTTATCGCGTTGTCCGCCTGATCCTATCTCATCAGGGCCCGACGTTCATTGCTGCTGACGTTTCATTGCTAAACCTGGGTGGCATTATGATGTAGCCGTCATACGCCTGAACAATGCTGATGCGGGATATTAACTAACGTCTTACCTCCGTACAGTTCTAATTTCCAACATATCCTTTGTCTGGGGACCGTTTATCCAGCTGAATTCTCCTTTCCTTCTGCGTATCCTCCTCCAGCCTGCGTAATTCCCTTTCGCAGCTGATCGGTCAACTCTTTTCTAGGCATAAAGTGCGATTTCTCAGTTTCTCCTAGGGAGGCAATCTAGACATCTTTCGATACAGTAACGCGTAAGTTAACCCCGACAGGATGAAGGACGAAGGAAGGAGGAGGAAGAGCCCTTTACCTGCCAGCCACGTCATACATCTCGACCAATCAGATTGTACCAGTACTGGTTCTGCTACGGGTACTGGTGCTACCGGTGCTAATACGAGACGGCCCTGTCCGTTTGACAATTATGGCGCGGATAAATCGTTAAAGAAATCCCTCGTATTCGATGATGATACTGGCCAATCAGGCAAGACCCAGTACGATTCAGCTCGGTTCGGCTCGGCCAATCACAAGGAGCAACAGCAGGGCCAATCCTTTGAGAATGCCGCGTCTCAGAAGCCATCATCCTCCTACTCATCATCATTATCCTACTCCAAATTTTCTAGTTTTTCATCCATTCTCCGTCTCCTACGCAAATCTCTCAACTTCGTGCTAATCTCCCTCCTCCTCCTCACACCGCTATACTACTTCGCGTTCGTCATAATCTCCCCGACCTGCACGCGAATCCCGATAGTGACTTTCCGCGCGCCGCTTACCTATTCCACTCCTAGTCCGTACTGCCGCTTTTTCCCTTTCGCTGCGCGATGGAAATACAATCTTCCGGAAGAAGACTCTCGGTTTGATGGGATGGAGGATTTCGTGTTCGACCCGAGTTCGATTCCTGCTGAGAGCAAATTGTCGGGTGATCCGTACAGCAGTGAGGAACGCGGGAAAATGGCGTTTCTGTTCCTGACGAGATCGACCATCCCGCTTGCTCCGTTATGGGATCAATTCTTTAAGGTGAGCTGTGAGATGACCTACTTTGCCGTTTTGTTACTTTGTTGCACTGTCGTATTTGTCACGTTGTTACATTCTCATGACCAACATCGCCAGTATCACAAATCATGCCCCCTAGACCCCACATGCTCCACACGTCACTCTCCATGTGCCGTTCTTTCCCCTTCTCATCTTACAATGCTGACGCATACTGCTGACGTGGACTGCTGACTGCTGCTGACGTGTTCGGCCACGTGTGTTGCTGACGTGGCAGGGGCACGAGCACCGCTACTCCATCTACGTGCACAGCTCCGACCCCTACTTTCAGATCACTGCTGACAACACCCCCTCACCCATCTTCGTAGGCCGCCAAGTGCCGAGTGGCGAGGTGTGTACCATTGTTTTATCATGTACTGTGTTGTACCCTACTGAATTGTACTGTGCCACCTTGTACTGTACTGGGTTGCATTGTCTGTACTTTCAAATCACTGCTGACAACACCCCCTCGCCCATCTTCGTAGGCCGCCAAGTGCCCAGTGGCGAGGTCTGTACTATATGGTGTATAGATTCTTTATGGTGGTGGTCTGAATGATGTTATACCACACTTTACTGTACTGGGTTGGATTGTCTGTACTTTCACATTACTGCTGATAACACCCCCTGGCCCATCTTCGTAGGCCATCAAGTGCCCAGTGGCGAGGTATCTTGCACGTGGTGTATTGATATACGCTACTATATAATTCCGAGTTGTACTGTAGTGCAATGCAAAGCTATGGCTGCTGCAGTTGCTTCGCCCTCTCCACCCCTCCCAACCGCTTATTACCTTAACTGCCGTCAGGTAGTATGGGGCGACATCACCATTTTGGACGCGGAGCGAAGGCTGCTGGAGATTGTTTGCCCCTCTCCACCCCTCTCCACCACTATCAACCTCTTACTATCTGTGCTGTCCCCTATCGTGTAGTATGGGGCGATATCACCATGGTGGACGCAGAGCGACAGCTGCTGGACACAATTTGCCCCTCTCCACCCCTCTCCACCCCTCACCACCACTCCCCACCTCAGGTTGTATGGGGCGACATCACCATGGTGGATGCAGAGCGAAGGCTGCTGGAGATTTCCCTGCTGGATCCGAATAACCTCTTCTTCACCCTTGTCTCTGAGAGGTGCGGTTAAAAGGAGTGGAGAGGGGTGAAAGGGAGTGGATATGGGTGTGGGGGGGCTGGGAGTTGTTTTGTGGAGTGGGGACGGGTGGAAGGGCGTGAACAGGGGTAGGAAGTGGTGAGTGTGTGGATGGATGGTCTGGGCTGCTGGAGATCTCCCTGCTGGACCCAGATAACCTCGTCTTCACGCTTGTCTCTGAGAGGTGCGGGTTGAGAGGTGTGGAGAGGATTGTAGAGAGATGGGCAGGTGTGGGGCAGGATGAGCGGGGGGTGTGGAGGGGTGGAAAGCCTTGGAAAGTGGTGTGAGTGAGCGAGTGTGTGAAAGGCTGCTGGAAATTTCCCTGCTGGATCCGAATAACCTCTTCTTCACGCTTGTCTCTGAGAGGTGCGGTTGAAAGGGGTGAAGAGCTGTTTTAGGGAGTGGGAAGGGGTGAAAGGGTGTGGAGAGGTGGGGAAAAGTGACTGCAGAAAGCTGTCAGAAACCCCCTGCTGGCCCCGGATAACCCTTCCTTTGCCTTTGTCTCAGCAGTGGAGAGGTGCGGTTGAAAGGAGTGGAGAGAAGTGTGGAGAGGCGTGGGAAGCTGATTTTGGGTGTGGGAAGAGGTGGAATGGTGTGATGAGGAGTGTGGACTGGTGTGCCTCCACCACGTCAGTCAGCTTCATCCCCTTACAAAGCATTGTCTCCCTTTTGTCCCTCTCTGTCTCCCCTTGGCTTCTCTGTTTGTGTAACCCTCCGACCAGCTGCATACCCCTCTGGTCCTTCCAGTATATTTATAACTACGTCGCCACCACATCAGTCAGTTTCATTGAGAGGTAAGCTGAAGAGGCGTACTTAGTGCAGTAATAACACACTATCTTACTTAGCTAAAAGATGTAGCCACGTCACCATCATTGTCAGCTTTGTCAAAAGGTGAGTGCAAACGACTTACTTAACACAAGACGCCAACCCCCTTTAAAAAAAGAGTGTACCGTGCTCGCATTGCCTCAAGATGATGGCTTTAAACATTGGGCTTAATACTTACGTTGCCTTAGTTCCCGTTTACACCCCATCAGATTCGACTGTCCTCTGAATATCAGCTTTGGTTGTTTCATGGAAGCGATGATTCAGAGTGTGCTCTTATGCTTATGCCCAACCCCATCCCATCTTCATCCCCCCATCTTTTCCCCAACCCTCATCAGATTTGACTGCCCTCTCAACATCGGCTTTGGTCGCTACACGGAAGGGATGGGGCCGGAGATAAAGAAGAAAGATTTCAAAAAGGGATCTCAGGTGGGTGTCGTACTCGTTATAAGCTGCTGCTGCAAGCGACAGCCATGTGAGATGTGTAGTTATTAAGGCTAAAGTGTTTCTGTCTGACTCTAGTCACGAAATTATTTATGCTTATGTTAGGAGCGTAAGGTTTAAGATTTTGAGAGTGACCATCTCATTTTGTCTCATCTCGTCTCCTCTTATCTCTGTGTGCGTTGTTTCTTGTTTTGGTCTCCTTTCTTTCCCTGCGCTCTTTCTCGGTGCCCTTATTGTGACTAAAGTGGTTTGTGCTGCAAAGGAGGCATGCGATGATGGTGATCGAGGACAGAAAGGTCTACTTCAAATTCCAAAAACATTGTAAAGTAAGCGTTCACATCAGTACTATCTTCACAACATCTGTCAAGTGTTCTTTTCAGAGAGCATTCTAGGTGCCTGACATGCCATGATGGTGATTGGGGTCAGAAAAAGTCTACTTCAAGTTCCATAAGCACTGTAAGGTAAGCCTCAAATATGCAAGCGCTTGGGGTCTTGGGGCCTTTCATGGCTCTAGTGGTTCGTGCTGCAAAGGAGGCATGCAATCATGGTGATCGAGGACAGAAAAGTCTAGTCCAACTTCCAAAAGCACTGCAAAGTAAGGAGGCATACTCCCTCACTCCCACATGCTAGCGTTTAGGGTCTCGGGGCCTTTTGTGACTACAGTGGTGCTGCAAAGCAGGCACACGGTGATGGTGATCGAGGACAGAAATGTCTACTTCAACTCCCAAAAGCACTGCAAAGTAAGCCTGCTCAAGCCCATGTTATGGGAGGCAATGATGCCTTAGATGTGGCTGCAAAGGTGTAATGTAGTGCTGCAAAGGAGGCACGCCATGATGTTGATCGAAGACAGAAAAGTCTACTTCAAATTCCAGAAACACTGCAAAGTAAGCCTCCTGTCAGCGAGGATTTTGTCTGGACACAAACTGATGCTGCTGAATCATTATTGAGTCGCCTGTCGCCGATTTTTGAGTCGCTTCCTGCCTCCCTTATGATTCTGTGCACTTTCGTTCTGGTGTTTGCTCCAGCCCAAGCGGGAGTACAGGTACTGCTACTCGCACGACTACCTTCACGCACATCTATTGAGCTGTCTCTGGGTCCCGCTTTCTTTCATTTTTGTGTGCGCTTGCTTGTGACAGCCCAAGCGGGAGTTTAAAAACTGCTACTCGGACGAGCATTACCTTCAAACACTCTTCCAGGTACGCTCAGGTGATTCCTCAGGTGTGTGCTGTGCAGGTGATATATCAGGTATGCTCGCTCAGCTGATATATCAGGTATGCTCAGGTGCTCTTTCAGGTATGCTTTGCCAAAGCGACGTATGCCCTTTCTTTTTCTTTCTTCCCACCTCCGCAGCCCACCTGTTCGACTTCGACAGCACCTCACCTACTCCTTCGTTCCTGCCCATTTCCTCCAGGTTTCCTTCTTCCCAAAATATGTTCAGAAACTGGAACCTGGAGGGGACAAAGTGACACCTGTTTCTCTCTCATTCGCTTTCTAGCCTTGATCTTCTTGTCTTCCTCCTCCTCTTGCCCTGCAGAAGCTTTGTCCAATTAAATTGTGGAATCCCTTTGTCTTGATCTCTTTTTTTTTCCCTTTTCCTTTCTCCTGCCAAAGCTGGACTCAGGGGGGGTGTCCAACTACACAGTGACATCCTTCTTGCTCTTTCTTTCTTTCATCATCACCTTACGTTTTCTGCCCTCTCTCTTTGTTTTCCTTTCTATTCCTTGCAGAAGCTGGACCTAGGGGGGGTATCCAACTACACGGTGACATTTGTCGATTGGACGGAGCGCAAGTGGCATCCCAAAGTTCTGTCTCTTTTCACTCCTCCTCTTTTCGCTCCTCTTCCCTCTCTTCCTTCCTAACCCTTTCAGAAGCTGGATCCAGGGGGGGTATCCAACTACACAGCAACATCTGGCCCCTTTGTGTTGTGTCCTTTCCTTTCATTTCTTGCCTTCTTCCTTCCTCCCCCTCTCCCCCTACAGAAGCTGGACCCAGGTGACGTTTGTGTATTGGACGGAGCGCAAGTGGCACCCCAAGGCTTACTCCGTCGAGAATACCACCTCCCACGCCCATCCAAACCGCTGCTCTCTCCCCTTTCTCCTCTTCTCTTGGTCGGCCCTTCATTTACTCAACTTCCTCCTCCACCTCCTCTCCTCCTTCTTTCTCCTTCATTGGTGCTTCTCATCTCTCCTACAGAAGCTGGATCCAGGGGGGGTATCCAACTACACGGTGGCGTTTGTTGATTGGACGGAGCGCAAGTGGCATCCCAAGGCGTACTCTGTCGAGAATACCACTTCCCTCCTCTGTCCTCCCATTCCCCTTTTCAGAAGCTGGATCCAGGGGGAGTGTCCAACTACACAGTGACGTTTGCTCTCTATATCTCAGCGTGCCTTTCCCTTCCATTTCCTTCTCCCCCCCTACAGAAGCTGGACCCAGGGGGGTATCCAACTACACGGTGACGTTTGTGGATTGGACGGAGCGCAAGTGGCACCCCAAGGCGTACTCTGTCGAGAATACCACCTCCCTCCTTTTGAGACAAATCAAGGTACTCGTTATAGTGGTACCTGTTATTGGCCTGCTCTGTTGAGAACACCACCTCCCTCCTCTTAAGACAGATCAAGGTACATAATGTAGAAGTGTTGCTATTTTGAAATGTGCAAAGCTTACTCTGTTAAGAACATCACCCCCCTCTAGAAAAATCAAGGAACTCATTGTTCGCAAGTCGAGTTGTTCATTCTTGCATCGAGTTAAGCTATATTGTGTGTTAGATTGTTTCATGATGCATGTCACAGTCCCCCTCCTTTACCCTGCAAGTGTAGTGTGCATCTTGCCTTTCCCTTGTTCACACTTGCAGTGTGAGGATCGGTACATTGCATGGCGGCTCCGCTGGTTCCATTCTCATGCCTGGTTATCACCACCCTTTTTCATCACGCATGTGTCACCATGCATCTTCCCTCTGCCTGATTCACCCATGCAGTGTGAGGATCGGTACATTGCATGGCGCCCCTACTGGCATCGCATTCGCAAGTCGTACAAGAGTCACCTGGTGAGGGCTTTGTTGAGTGGCGTGGTGCGGTGCGGTGCGGTGTGGTGTGGTGCGCTGTGGTGCAGTGTGGTATGGTGTGGTGTGGTGTGGTGAAAGGGTTGGATGCCTTGTAACAGTGTCAATTGTTGTAGCATCAATGGTTATTTCATGTTGTCAGAACTTCATCATATGCCATACAATGCCCGATCCTAGGCGGTATACCCCCAATTCCAAGGGTTAATCGTAGACTGATGTGGCTGATGACTCTCTGCTTTGCTGGGCGTCCCCTTGTCTTGTGCAGGTGTTGGACCCAAGCACAGGGAAACCGGTCAAGGTGAGGTGTTTGTTACAGATTTGATGTATGCTTTTTCTTCTGCTCCTAAAATTGCATCTTGTACTGATGTTTGTAGTCTGTTGTGCAGGATTATGACAACGGATATTGTGCGCTTGGTTCGGAGGATAGACATTGCTTTCTTTTTGCGCGGAAATTCATGCCATCTGCATTGCCGATTTTATTGAACGTCTCACAGGCAGAACTAGGATTTTGACATTACTCATGTATTGGCACATGTTGTTTTATGGCATAAATCAGCTTCTCGTCCAGGGAGAGGCAAGCATATAATATGTCCGTCTCATGTATTCTGTCTCTCTGCTGACTAGTTATGCTTACCGAAGTATGGTAATCATATTGTCCATCAACATAGAGTTGTACGCACTGTCCTATAAAAGCATGACGATGTCTCTAAACGGTCGCAGATTTTGTCACGAGGCAGAGAGCGAATTTTTTCCCGCCATTCCGCCAGCGTCGCGTATTTTTTTTGCATTGAAGTAGTGCGCGGTGCGGTGTGGGAGCGCCGACAGATTGAGCTTGCTGACGATACCATGACAAGATGGACGATGCGATCAGCTCCCTTGTCTGACACAACCGACCGACTTTGTTGAAAGCTCTGGCCAAGAAAAGGATCAGGGAAGTAGAATACGATCCACGGAGTGGTGTTGAGTCGAGGTGAGGAACGGTGTGGTGAAGGAAATGAACAGTACGGTTCAGAGAGTTCCTACACGGTGAAAAACGGTTCAATCTCATCATCCACCCTGCACCAGAATGCACCGAACAAAAGCGTGAGGACGACTTGGTTAGTGGTGCACTTAGCTTCCCAGCTATTTATTCTGCTTGCTCTGTTGATGGCCTCGAAACGCGGTCATATACACACATCGAAATGGCTTGTTAGACAATGGTCGGTCTAATTCCACAAGCTGCCTTGCTTACTGATGCGAGAAAGTGACTAAAAGTGAAAACCAGCAAGGCGTTAGCGCAAAGCACTCATAGAGCGAGAGGCAGTTTTAGTCGGTGCTTCGTAGGGGTAGTGTGTGCAGGCTCAGTCACAGTGAACTTAACAGGTTTCTGGATGTTTGGCGCTCGAGTTACACTATTTGAACGAGCACGGGTCTGCATATTCCAGAACTTGTTTCGTTTTCTTTTGACATTACTACAGAAAAGCCGTTAATACTCAATATCACATACCAAGTCGCCGTTCCAAGCCGTTTCGATTTCGTTACCGTAAAATTTGCGAGAAAGCCGCGCAACCCATATCCAGCGATATCCACGTGATACAAGTGTTATTTTGAGACGTCTCGAAAGCCGCACACTCCATATCTAGCAATACCCACAAGTTTTCGGAAGCCATACGGTGACACTCTGCGATTCTTAACGCCACAAACCATGTCGCCAGTTCGCCGCAAGCGGTTGCTCTCTACCTCTCTCATCCTCGCACGCATCGTCGCACCAGCGATAGCCGTCGCACTGCTTGCGACTCTACAGGGAACTGCTCGAGCCGCCCCCGGAGCTGCAGGTATTGCTTACTGCACGCAGACTTTTCTTCACTCACTGAGCGATTTTTAAGAATCATAAAAAATCGCTCACCGTAGCTGCAGGTATTGCTTACTGCACGCACACTCTTCTTCTCCTCGTAAAAGAAGTGAGTTTTGAGACGTCTCCAAAAACTCACTTCTTTCACACTCGAGCCGCCCCCGGAGCTGCAGGTATTGCTTACTCGTTGCTCGACCCGCAGACTCTCGTTAATCACTTGTTTCAACCACCATCATACACCTGACAGTAGTTCCCGTGTCCCTTCTGTACAGTGTTTTGTGATAAATTTCCTCGCTCTATAAATTTTTTTTCCACCCTTTTTTTCGTTGCAATACCCTCGTCTTTTACCTGCCCGTTCCCGTTCCCGGCCAGGGGGATGCACGAACTACAGCCAGGGAACGTGGGTACGCGATAACAGCCGACCCGCTTATGACGCCAGCACCTGCAAGTACATGGTGCGTAACCGGGCTCGAAACGAATAAGCTGATAGCGCGTACATGCGGGGTCACTGTGGGGAGCGCGTACATGCGGGGTCACTGTGGGGAGCGCGTACATGCGGGGTCACTGCGTGTAGCGCGCGTGTTGTACACGCGGATTTTGTGAGTTCTCAGAAACCAGCTTGTCTCCTACACGTGTTCAGGAAACTTACATGTTCAGCATGCCTTAGAAAAGCCCCCTACCCTTCTCCTGCCGCCCCCACCCTCACGCTAACTCATCTTCCCCTCCTCCCCCCCCTTTCCGCCCCGCCACCGTGCCCTTCCTCTCCCCCCCCCTCCCCCTTTCCGCCCCGCCACCGTCCCCTTCCGCCCCGCCACCGTCCCCTTCCGCCTTTCCTATCAGGGAGTGAGCAACTGCCTGAAGCAAAGCGGGCGATCAAAAGACTGGCTGGTGAGTGCCTGTGCCTAGACGGGACAAGAGTGAGAAGTAGTTGATTGAAAGGCTGGCTGACTGGCTCGTCCCTCCCCTTCAGGGAGTGAGCAAGTGGAAACCAAATGGCAAATGGCAAATGGCAAATGGCAAATGGCAAATGGCAAATGGCTGTCCTGCAAACGGCATGCTCGTCCTTACCACACCTCGCCCCATCCCCCCCCCCCATTTCGTGTTTCTCCCCATGCCGTCTTCCTCCATCCCCCCCGTGCGGTATTGGTCCTGGAAGCCCAATGGCTGCCCTGCGAACAGCATGCTCGTCCTTATTACCCATATTCCCATCCCCCATTTCCTATCGCCCTGTCCTCCTACACTTTTTCCCCCCTATCCCGTGTCCCTCCCCCCGTGCAGTATTGTTCCTGGAAGGCCAATGGCTGCCCTGCGAACGGCATGCTCGTCCTTATTACCCATATTCCCATCCCCCATTTCCTATCGCCCTGCCCTTCTACACTTTCCCCCCCTATCCCGTGTCTCCCCCCTGTGCAGTATTGGTTCTGGAAGGCCAATGGGTGCCCTGCAAACGGCATGCTCATCCTTACAGCACTTATACCCATCCCCCCATTTCCTATCGCCCTGTTCTTCTACACTTCCCCACTCCCCCCCCCCATCCCGTGTTCCCCCCTCGTGCAGTATTGGTCCTGGAAGCCCAATGGCTGCCCTGCAAACGGAATGCGCTTTAATGCACCAGGGTTCCTCAAACTGATGAAGAACAAGTGAGTTGCGAGGGGTAGCACGCACCCATGCACGTGAAATTCAGTGGAGTGGTTTATGAACCCGGCATGCGCTTTAATGCACCGGCGTTCCTCAAACTGATGAAGAACAAGTGAGTTGCGAGGGGTAGCACACACCCATGCACGTGAATATCAATGGGCTGGTTTAAGCGAGTCGAGAGGACTACACACGTACATGCACACATACGTGCATGCGTGCATGCATACACGTACTGCATGCATGCGCATGTTCATACATGCATACACGCATGCAGAAACATGGGCACACAAGCACACATACAGCATGCGCTTTCATGCACCTGAATTCCTCCTTCCCTTCCTCCCTTCCTCCCTCCCTCCCTTGTCCGTTTGCCTCCCAACAGAGTGTTCGCGAGTGTGGGCGAGTCCATCTCCGTTAGAGGCTTCCTCCTTGCAGTCGTCTGCAATGTAAGAAGAACGCATTTCTATATATCTCCTCCGCATGTGGGTGTAAATGCTGCGTGAACACCAGAGATCGAGGAGAAAATGCATTTGCAAGGCCAAACGAATTTGGGAAAACCGAGGTGTATTATATGGCATATGCCTACTCACAACGCGACAACTGCTAACTGATAACAAAGTTGTTATGAGACGTCTCTTAACGAAATTGTTATCACGTGCATTAATCTTCTGAGGTACCGAGGTGTATCATGTACGCCTACTCACAATGCGACACCTGCCAACTTCCCCTCTCTCCCCTCCCCAAACCCCCTCAAACAAGCTGCTAAGTACACAAGGGAAAGATGCGAGGGATACCAAATAAGTTCACTAATTAAGCTAAGTCAGATGTAACCTGCCTTTCGCCCCCTCCCCTCCCTTTTCCCACCCACCCCGCCTGCGCTTCCTCGGATCGCCAAGTTTACAGAAGTGAAGATGCTAGCTAAACCCAACAGATTCAATGCTGACTCGATCCAATGGTCCACCGCTCCTCCTTTCACTGCCTCCCTGCCTCAGATCGCCAAGTTTACAGAAGTGAAGATGCTAGCTAAACCCAACAGATTCGGGGATGCCGAGGTTTACCTCGTGCCCAGTCACAACGTGACACTTGTCAACTACTGGGCACAGTTACTCCCCTTCCACACCCCCAACCTACCCTTTGTCAGATCGCTAAGTTTACAGAAGTGAAGATGCTAGCTAAACCCAACAGATTCGGGGATGCCGAGGTTTCCGAGTCAACTCAAAAGCTTTCCCCGTCCCCCAACCACCCCACTTACCCTTCCTCAGATCGCCAAGTTTACGGAAGTGAAGTTGCTAGCCAAACCCAACAGATTCGGGGATGCCGAGGTTTACGTCGTGCCCAGTCACAACGTGACACTTGTCAATTACTGGGCACAGTTCCTGGTCGCCATTGACCGGAGCAACCAGGTGAGGAGGGGTGACTTGGGGTGGGAGAGAAAGGTATAGTTGACTTCAGAGTCCAGTCACAACGTGACACTTGTCAACTACTGGGCGCACTGAATTCCTCGTTGCAATCGACCGGAGCAACCAGGTGAGGAAGGGTTGAAGGAGGAGGAGAGGAGGGAGGGAGGTGGTGAGTTGGGGGTGGGAGGAGAAACGGAGTTGACTTGACTCAACTCCCGACTAGGCTCCAACGTGGCACTTGTCAACTACTGGGCGCAGTTCCTTGTCGCCATTGACAGGAGCAACCAGGTGTGTGGGGGTTTGGGAGGGAGAGGAGAGGAGAGGTGGAGGTGGGGGCGGGAGGAGGGAGAACAGAGTTGACTCTCTTCGTTGGTGCAAAAGTCAGCACTTGTCAACTATGTGGCGCAGTTCCTAGTCATCTCGCCATTGACAGAGGTGACTTTTGAGTCAACTCAAAAGTCAACTATGTGGCGCAGTTCCTAGTCATCTCGCCATTGACAGCAACAACGAGGTGAGGGGGCGAGAGAGAGAGAGGTGGGGCAGAGATAGAAAAGGGAGGGGGGGGCGGAAGGAAGGGGGAGTGGGGACGAGACACTCAAGAGTCATTACTCGTCAACTTTTGGGCGCAGTCTCTTGTTGCCATTGATGACACGAGGGTGAGAAAGGAGGGGGTAAGGGGTGGGTGGGGGGAGAGAGATGGATAGAAAGGGCGTTTTTTCTGACTTGATTGTGGAAATTTGAGCATCTTACTTGCTCGCCACTGCATTTCCCCCGCCTCTTCATCCCTCGATTCGTTCTCTCTCCTTGCTAAAAGCCTACTTTCTGCCTGATGCTCTGAACCATAGCCAATTTAGGTTTAGCAAAGCCCACCCTTGGCATATTCCCGTCCTCCACTGTGCGTCCCCCGAACCAGACTCTCGCCAGGTTCGGCAACACCAAGCCTGCGCTACAGGACACGGTGGTGAACCTCTACAAGCTGGAGCCGTCCTGGGCAGCAAAGCTCGACCTCATCCACGTCATCGTCTTGCAGTCCGCCACGGACTGGCCGGCAGGGCGCGACCTCATGCGGCGGTATTATGCCGATGCGAATTGGGATCCGATAAAACCGGCCCCTTCGACTTATGAAGCATACGAGTGAGTTTCCCTGTGGACTAGACTTAGGAAGCTCTCTGCCACGGACTGGCCGTCTTTTGAGTCGACTCAAAAGACGAGTTGCAGTCTGCCACTGACTGGCCGGCAGGGCGCGACCTCATGCGGCGGTACTATGCCGATGCGAATTGGAACGCCATCAAACCGGCCCCTTCGACTTATGAAGCATACGAGTAAGTTTTCTTGTCACATGTAGGTGATCTCGTCTTGGCTGGTTGATTGGATTGTGACCTCCTGCGGCGGTACTGTGCTGATAACAACTGCAAGAACGCCATCAAAGAGGCTCCTTGGATTCGATGTATGAGCGGTCCCATCCCATAAGCTTATGCGTGAGTTCCATTCTGCTCGGTTGAGAACAGTGTACAACGCATCGCAGGGTGCAACAAGAGGAGAAAGCCATTCCCCGTGCCCTACTCCTCATTACTGCTCTCCTCTCCCCGCCTCCTCCCTCACCTTCACCTACTCCTGTCGCCGTCCCCCGCACACGCACAGAATCGGAATGAGAACAGTGTACAACGCATTTGCAGGGCGCAACAAGCGGGGCAAGCCCTTCCCAGTGCCCTGCTCTGTCGCTTCACCCCGCCTGTTCTCTCTTCTACTCCTGTCCCAATCCCCCCTTGAAACACGATCGGCATGAGGACAGTGTACAACGCATTCGCAGGGCGCAACAAGCGGGGAAATCCTAAATACCCCTTCTCCCTTTTATCCTCTTCTTTGCTTCTCCTCTTCCCCTGTGCCACAGAATCGGCATGCGGACAGTGTACAACGCATTTGCAGGGCGCAACAAGCGGGGAAAGCCGTTCCCAGTCCCCTACTTCCTGTCAGCGCCCCCTCGCCTCAACGGCTGTCAGAATGTCTCCTCCCTCAGCTCGCCACAGCAGGTGCGTGCAGTGAAGCAGAGACAGAAGGTGGGTTGTGTCAAGCACTCTCCACACAGGCCAAGCCCTTCCCAGTGCCCTACTTTCCTGTCAGTGCCCTCCCAGAAAGTCTCCTTCCTCAGCAGCCCGCAGCAGGTGCGTGTGCAGCAGTGACAGAAGGTGGGTTGTGTCTAGCACTCTCCACACAGGGCAAGCCCCTCCCAGTCCCCTACTTCCTCTCGGCCCCTCCTCGCCTCAACGGCTGCCAGGACGTCACCACCCTCAGCTCGCCACAAAAGGTAGGGGAACAGGAGAACTGTGATACGTGTAGCGAGGTTGTTTTTGAGACGTCTCGAAAACAACCTCGCTACACAGAGCCGGAATGGTTGTGCAGCAGGTGGGTGTGCGGCAGTGATGGAGAGTTGGTTGTGTCTAGCTCTCTCCCCACAGGGCAAGCCCCTTCCCGCGCGTGGCTTTTTGTCGACTCAAAAGTCTCCCCACAGGGCAAGCCCCTTCCCGCGCCCTACTTCCCTCTCATCTTTCTTCACCGACAACAAGGCGCATGCCTTTTGAGGCACCTCAAAAGAGCTGATTTTTTAGTCGACTCAAAAATCAGCTCGGTGACAACAAGGCGCATGCCTTTTGACGCGCCTGAAAGGTCGTCTCTTCAGTGACGACGAGGCGCATGCTGCCCGATTTGTTCGGAGGTTGATTTTGAAATTTCTCAAAATCAACACCCATCTCGCAGCTCTGTTTCCCTACCGTACAAGCAAGCACTTGCTCCAAGCAAGCACTTGCTCTCAAATATTGCCTCTCCTTCCGCCCTCCTCTCCTCACTCCCACAAACAAGTCTCATCTCTGTTCAGTGGCAGCAAGGTGTCCTGTGGCTTTCTCCCCATCACCCTCTTCTCTCCTTCCCACCCCCTTCCTCTCGTTCCCTTTCCACACACAGGTGTCGTCCCTTTTCAATGACAACAATGCACCTCGTGCCTTCCTCCCCATCCAGCAAAGGACCTTCGCCCCACCCACCTGACATAACAGTCTCCTCCTCCTCTCCTCTCTATCCTCCCCCTCCTCTCTCCTCCCCCTCCTCCCCCTCCTCCTCCTCCTCCTCCTCCTCCTCCCTCTCCTCCCTCTCCTCCCTCTCCTCCCTCTCCTCCCTCTCCTCCCTCTCCTCCCTCTCCTATAACCAGGTACAATCTCTGTTCAACGACAACAAGGCATCCAAGGGTTTCCTCCCTATTCAGCAAGACATCTTCCAAAACCACCGCCTCTTCCGCTTCCTGCTGATAAAGCCATCTCCCTCCTCCCTCTCCTCCCTCTCCTCCCTCTCCTCCCTCTCCTCTCTTTCCTCTATCCTATGACCAGGTTCAATCCCTGTTTAATGACAACAAGGCATCCAAGGGTTTCCTCCCTATCACCCTCCTCTCACCTTCCCGTCTTCTCTCCTCTCATTCCCTTTCCACAAACAGGTGGCATCTCTGTTCAACGACAACAAGGCATCCAAGGGTTTCCTCCCCATCCAGCAGAAAATCTTCCAATTCCACCGCCCATTACGCTTCCTACTGTTATAGCCATCCCTTTCCTCCCTCTCCTCCGTCTCCTCTCTCCTACGACCAGGTACAATCCCTGTTCAACGACAACAAGGCATCCAAGGGTTTCCTCCCCATCCAGCAGAAGATATTCCAAAACCACCGCCCTTTCCGCTTCCTCCCCATCACCTACCTTCCTCTGCGCCGTCTCCTCCCTCACCTCCGTTTCATTACCAGGTACAATCCCTGTTCAACGACAACAAGGCATCCAAGGGTTTCCTCCCCATCCAGCAGAAGATATTCCAAAACCACCGCCCCTTCCGATTCCTCCCCATCACCTACCTCTCGATGTTCCGAGGGGATGCTTTCATGTCGTCCAACGGAGCACATGATGGGGGAAAGGACTGCCTGCATTTCTGCTTACCCGGTGTGCCGGACACGTGGGCCGATGCTCTCTATACCACCATGAAGAACGATCGGTTTATTGTGAATAACACGGCTAAATAGAGTAGTTAGGCAATGTTCTGAGGAGATGCCTTCATGTCGTCCAATGGGGCGCATGATGGGGGGAAAGACTGCCTGCACTTCTGCCTGCCGGGTGTGCCCGACACGTGGGCCGATGCACTGTTTACAACCATGAAGAACGATCGGTTTATTGTGAATAATGCGGCTACATAGTGGGGCGCATGATGGTGGGAGGGAGGGATTGCTTGCATTTCTGCCTGCCGGGTGTGCCGGACAAGTGGGCTGATGCGCTCTATACCACGATGAAGAACGACAGGTTTATTGTGAATAACGTAGCGAAATAAGAGAGGGTTTGCAGTTCTGCCTGCCGGGTGTGCCGGACACGTGGGCTGATGCACTCTATACGACCATGAAGAATGACAGGTTTATTGTGAACAATGCAGGAAAATAAGAGAGGGTTTTGCGCATACGAAGCTGATGTTCTGAGGGGATGCTTTCTTGTCATCTAGTGGGGTGCATGATGGGGGGAGGGAGGGACTGCCTAGTACATTTCTGTCTGCCAGGTGAATGATGTTGCCCACATGCACTGTACACCACCATGAAGAATGATACGGTAGGTTTCATTGTAAATAATTCAGCCAAAAAGCAGATGGATATGAGGGACTTTTTCCATTTGCTCCGTGCGAGGCGCACCAGACACTGTGAATAATAATAAATGTACACATAGTAGTATCATTACTCTATCTTCCTTATCACAATTACCGCCACTGCCACCACCCATCCAAAAATTTATCATCCATGATCCTCCTCATTTCCTCCACATACCACTCTCGCCTCAATCCCGCTCTCCATGCTGCTTTACGTATGTTATTCCCGCCACCAACCCATCATCACCATCCCATCACCACCACTGCCACCATCCATCCAGGGATTTCCCATCCATGACTCTCCTCATTTCCTCCACATACTCTCGCCTCAACCACGCTCTCCTTGCTCCTTTGAGCAGCAAGCAACCCGCGGTAGCAAGCAGAGGGGGGCAGCTCCTTGTGACCACAAGCACTATCACCACCACCACCACCATCACCACCACCACCACCACCACCACCACCACCAGCACCACCACCACCACCACCACCACCACCACCATCACCACCACCACCACCACCACCACCACCAGCACCACCACCACCAGCACCACCACCACCACCCGTCCAGGGACTTCCCATCCATCACTCTCCTCATTACCCCCACATACGCTTGCCGCAACCCCGCTCTCCTCGCTGCTTTACCAAGTCAGTCCCACCACCATCCCATCACCACCACCATCACCACCACCATCACCACCCATCCAGGCTATTCCCATCCATCACTCTCCTCATCTCCTCCACATACTCTCGCCTCAACCCCTCTCTCCTCGCTTCCCTCAGCAGCAACCCGCGGTAGCGAGCAGAGGGAGGCAGCTCCTTGTGAGGCGGGAGGAATGAGGGGCTCCTGGGATTGGCGCGGAGGGTCAGAGCCTGTGGTAGGGGGAGGGAGGGAGTGAGTGGAAAGGGATGGGAAGGGTGGTAAGCATGTGGCTGCCACATCATTTTTCCCATCATTATATGGATCATATTGCTCCTTTCAGCAGCAACCCGCGGTAGCGAGCAGAGGGAGGCAGCTCCTTGTGAGGCGGGAGGAACGACGGGCTGTTGGGATTGGCGCGGAGGGTTAAAGCCTGGTGCAAGGGGGGTTTCGGGGGGGTGGGGGGCGATTGAGAGAGATTAGAACACCAGCAACCCAGCAAACTGTGGTGGCGAGCAGAGGCGGGCAGCTCCTCGTGAGGCGGGATTGGCTCAGAGGGTTAAAGCCTGGGATGGAGGGGGGATTTGGGGGTTGAGGAGCGGTTGAGAGAAGAACACCAGCAACCCAACAACCCACGGTAGCGAGCAGAGGGGGGCAGCTCCTTGTGGGGCGGGAGGAACGAGGGGCTCTTGGGGTTGGCTCGGAGGGTTAAAGCCTGGTGCAAGGGAAGAGGGGGGGATGTGGGTGTTGAGAGGAGAAACGGTGAGCAGAGGGGGGCAGCTCCTTGTGCGGGGGGAGGAACGAGGGGCTGTTGGGGTTGGCGCGGAGGTCAGGGCCTGGGGTAGAGGGGAGAGGGGCGAGGCGAGAGGGAGAAACGGGAGGATGGGAGGCGGTGGGAAAGAGCGGGGAGAAAGGCGAAAAGGAGGGCAGAGGGAGGCAGCTCCTTGGGAGAGGAACGAGGGGCTGTTGGGGTTGGCGCGGAGGGTTAATGCCTGGGGTAGGGGGGAGGGAAGGGATAAAGAGGCCCGGATGGGGGAGCGAGAGGAGAACCGGCAGAGAGACGGGGGAAGCTCCTTGTTGGGGGGGAGGAACGAGGGGCTGCTGGGATTGACGCGGAGAGTCAAAACCTGGTGTAAGAAAAGGGGGAGGGAGGGGAAAATGGGAAGAAGGGGGAGGCGGTGGGAAAGAGGGACAAGAGAGGAGACAAAGAGCAGAGGGGGGCAGCTCCTTCCGAGGAGTGGAGGAGCGAGGGGCTGTTGGGGTTGGCGCGGAGGGCTGGAGAGAGCAACGGGCAGGGGTAGGAGAGACAAAGAGCAGAGGGGGGCAAATCCTTGCAAGGGCGGAAGGAGCGAGGGGCTCTTGGGATGGGGGCGGAGGGTTGGAGAGAGCAACGGGAAGGGGGAGGAGAAACAGCGAGCAGAGGGGGGCAGCTCCTTGTGAGGCGGGAGGAATGAGGGGCTCTTGGGATTGGCGCGGAGAGTTAGAGCCTGGGGTAGGGGGGAAGAGGTAGAGAGGTGGGAAAAGGGATGTGGGACGGTGGGGAGAGACGAGAATAAAAGGGCAGAGGCGTGCGGCTCCTTTGAGGGGGGAGGAAAGAGGGGCTCTTGGGATTGGCTCTGAGGGTTAAAGCCTGGGGTAGCAGGGAGACGGTAGCGAGCAGAGGGGGGCAGTTCCTTGTGAGGCGGGAGGAACGATGGGCTCTTGGGATTGGGCGGAGGGTTGGACAGAGCAACGGGAAGGGGGAGGAGAAACAGCGAGCAGAGGGGGGCAGCTCCTTGTGAAGGGGGGGGGGGGATTGAGGGGCTGTTGGGGTTGGTACCGAGGGTTACAGCCTGTTGCAACGGGGGTGACAGCTCCTTGTAAGAGGGGAGGGACAAGGGGTTGTTGGGGTTGGTACCGAGGGTCAGGGCCTGGGATTGGGGATAAGAGCGAGAGGTTGAGCCATTCTGTGATTTCCTTTGCCCTAGCATGCTTGGATTGCATGAAATTAGAAACAAGTTGATTTTGTCAGTTCGAAGTTTGGATTCAGTGGTGCCAACGGCCAAGGCCATTGTGCAATTACCTGTACAGTACTGCCGGAGTAAGTGTGCGCTGTAACGAGGTGCTCTATATAGGGTCGCTTCTCGTTGCGAGAAATGCCTTCTGACCTGACAGGAAGGGTAGGTGTAAGGCAGGGAGTGAGGGGCGGAAATCTGTGACTTTTGAGTCGACTCAAAAGGCACCTCGCTTTCAAGCGTAAAACAGGGAGTGAGGGATGAAAATATGTGGAAGGGGCGTGGGTGTGTGTCTGAGTGTGTGCGTGCATGTGCAAGTTCCGGCCGATTTCGTTATTTTTTCCTTAGCTGACAGGAAGGAAAGGTGACAGGGAGTCAGAAACAAGAGCTTGTAAAGTGACCACATGTGTCGATTCCTCACATGCCACCCTCCCCACACGAGGTGACTTTTGAGTCGACTCAAAAGTCACCTCGTTACTATGGCACACGAAACAAGAGTTTGTAAAGAGACCCACATGTGTCGATTCCTCACATGCCACTCTCCCCTTACGTCAACTCAACTCAAACTCACCACATGAGCCGTTCGTAGTCGAGTTGACTTTTGAGTTGACTCAAAAGTCAACTCGTTTGTAAAGAGACGGCATGTGTCGATTCCTCACATGCCATCCTCCCCACACGCCAGCTCACCACATGAGCCGTTCGTAGTCGATTCGTCGCGTCTGCTCTGCACCACCAACCCCCCATGAGGCACACCAGGTGAGGGAGAAATGTGACCAAGAGGGAGATTGGGGGGGCGGGGAGGAGGGGGGAGGAGAGGGGGTATGAGGGGGGAGAGAGAGGAAGAAGGGAAAGAGGAGGAAGAGGAAGGAAACGGCACGTCAACTCACCACATGAGCCGTTCGTAGTCAATTCGTCGCATCTGCACCACCAGCCCATGCACACTCGGACTCCCCTCTCTGCCTTCCATCCCCGCTATAGCCGTCCCGTTTCGCGCTACAGCCGAGCCTGCCTCAGCTACAGCCGCCCTGCTCTGCGCTACAGCCGCTTCACTTCCCGCTACAGCCATTCTTGCCTCAGCCACTCTAGACGGCCTATTTCCCGCTACAGCCGGTCTTGTCTTTGCAACTCTCCCCGTCCTACTTCCCGCTACAGCCGTCCTTGTCTCTCCGACAGGTTCAATCGCGGCTACAGCCGGTTCGAACGGCGGCAGCACGCGCACGTTGAACGCCAGGCGATGGTGGTATACCACCGCCGGCTCCGCTACAAGCTGATCTTCCTCTGCTACAGCCGAACCCAGAATCTCTGCTACTCCTGAACCCAGAATCTCAGCTACAGGTGCGTTGACTCCCGTTGACCGCCGCTGTAGCAGATCCAAATTGAGATTCGATCCGAACGCGAAGTAGTTGACTGTAGCGTGGGGTGACAATAAAGAGGGATCGGATAAGATCGAGGGCCGGTCGGCTGTAGCGGGAGCTACAGTCGCCAGCCACGCGGTCAGGAGCAGAGAATCGGTCAGCTCGTTTGAACCTTTTCGCGGAAGCTTCCGACCCATGGTCCAATCCACCTCTCTGGTATTACTAGTACGATTACTAGCGGAAGGCTCTCGTTCTCCTCCTCCCCTTCCCCTTCCCCCTCCCCCGCTTCTAGGAGCCGCCGCTTTCGCCGTCTCCGCGCCTTTCTCCCCCCCGTCCGCGGAAAGGGCTGCGCACCGCGGAGCGCTTCGCGCGGAATTAGCGGATCGTAGGCGCGTTTGCGGTTCGTGACCGAACGGGATTGGCTGTTTGCGGGCGGAATCCACGGAAAGGTGCGGACGCCTGTAATTGCGGCGGCCATGTTATCCGGAAATCACATGGTTGGAAGGAACTGCAATGATTAGCTAGTAACGGGGATGAGGTGGACGTGGCTGCATTTAGGACCACCATGATCGAGCCGCGAACCGAATTAGCGGCAGGAAGAATCAATGATAAATGAATGAGAATTTTGAAAACATTTGGATCAATATGAAAAACATAGTCTCCCTTTCCATAAGTGAATGTTAATAACGAAACTGTACCGAAGAACGAGTACATCTGGCCGTGCCTACGGGTCGGGTTCGGCTGGTGGTGATTGGTTATGTGAGGCTGATCGTTGGAGAGACAAGTCGAACTCTGGTACGGGATGTGGTGGCATCAGGTACGAATAGCAAAGCTGTACTATTTGTGGTTGGCGTGGTGGGATGATGGGTGATATGGGTCTCTGGTTTGGGAGATAAAAGTCAAGGAAGGTGTGGACATGGCACTTGGGTATGAATCCTTTTAACCGTTTCAAACCGTTTGAGATAGAAAAAGAAACGCTCTGCATCAAGGTGAATGCTTCAGTTACTCGGTCAAGACGCTCGAAATGATTCCGGACCAAGTAGAGCCTTGAGGAAGCGTGAGAATGATAGGTTCGGAGAAGGCCAGCCTGAGGGCCACCCTTGCGACTGACCAATGGCGTAATACATGGGCCTCCCCTCCCCTTCGAGAGAGCACACTGCAAAGGGCATTGTTGTGAAAGTTTTCGTGCTTTCTAGGATATGTGCCATCTAGGATTAGACCATTTATGTTAAACTTTGCCAACACTATGGGCAGACGAGTTCCAGCCAAAGAAGGGTCGAGCATTTCTCGGCGGACCCTGCCCTTCAGTGTCTACACAGCACAGCAAGTGTCTCATTTTCTGTTCCCAGCTTCGGGAAAAAACTGTACTTATAAGTTTTAACTGTTTTCAGGGAACAGAAGATGAGACACTACCACAAGACTGTACACGTATCAACTTCTCACAGTGCAACCCTAAGGCGGCCAGCTGGCTAGCCACCCACCAATCCCCTGCCTTCCCCTCTCATTCGGTCCCTTCCCCTTCCCTGCAGCTCCTCCTCCCGTCCTTTTCGCGCCACTTCCCTCGCTTCCGCCATCGATGCCACCTTCCATGAAATTTCCCACTAAAAGTCACCCGAGTCAGCAGCAAAACTGCACTGTGTTCGTTTTGTCGCCTTGAGCGGGTCCGAGAAGTTCATGCATGAATGTACAGGCTGGTGAGTAGCGGTTCTGAGTGGTGACAGGCAAAAACGCTCTGAGCCATGAATCTATTGTCCTGAAACCAGGACCCAAATTGTGGTCGTAGGGGACTTTGCAAATACACGTACACACGATGTCCGTTTGACTAACCCAAGGTTGCCTTGTGAAGGGGGCGCTTAAGTGATTCATGCATTTCGTGGAGGTTTCGTCAATTCGCATCGGGCAAAAAGGGCTTATAGCAAAATTTTGTAACTCACCGTTGACTGTTTGACTTCGGTCTCTTCTGTTTCTGTGGTTCGTATTGGTTGACGTGCTTGTAACGTGGGTGCAACTGCCCGGGAAAAAACCTTCGTGTGCAAGGTTTCTGAAATGCGCGAGGCAATTTCGCGTGCAGGGGTTGGGCATCTTGTGTATACGCCCTTCATTGCACCGCGCTGCCAGCTGGAATCCCTACTGTTGAGCACACCCACAATTCAACTGCACCAGTACAGTACAGTACATTTGACCACATCACGCCATCCAAAATCCACTCTTCCAGCTGGCGGCAGCAGAGCCATTCGTCGCACCGTTGCGTTGCGTACTAAAGACGTTAGATGTTGGTGCTTGTGGGATCTAACGACACGCAGTGTGGGGAGGAGACAACGCTAGAGTAAAAATAGGGTTTTCTAAGGCATAGCCTCACCTTTGCCCTCATCATCAAAACTGACGGCGCCGCCTGCAAAGCGCCTGCTAAGCAGTTTCAGTGCCGTTTCCAGCCGGCGATGTGGTGTAGCGTGGGAGGTACAGTACGTATGGCGTTCGAAGTTACCGTCGTCGACAAACGTCAAGAGATTTCGTTTTGTTGGATCTAATGTCCAGGCTGGGCAGGGGAGGGAACGGAGGAACGAAACTCCTCGGAGGGAACAGAACGGACGGATGGAACGACTGACACGTGAGGCACAGTTAGGTAATTCTCTAAAAGTCAAGTGGATGAGCTACAGTCCTCTCGTTGGACCGTCCCTAGTGTAACTCGATTGATCTTATATTCTCTGTTCGCTTCCGTCCAATTCCGCACCGCACAGAGGCACAAGTTAGCCGGCCAATGGTTAACCACCCACTTGCAGCTTCGACCACCTACCCCTCGAGACAAAAACAGTGCCGCCATGCGTCGGTCGGCATTGGCAGTGCCCTCCTCGACAGGCTGGCCTGTTACTGTACCTGATGAGAACCCAAGAAAGAGAACGCGTCGTATGTGATGATGAACAAGGGCAAGAACTGAGGGCCGATGTTAACCGCTGCATGTGCATGTTGCATTGCATTGGCCAGGTGACGTGGACCGTCACCTGGATGGATGGATGGTTTGCGTTGCGCAGCCTGTGCGTTGGTCTGGTGCATCGCGCTCCGCTCTTTCTTCGGGGGGGCGGAAGGATCAGAACTTCCGCGAGGGCGGAAGATTCTTCCTTCCGCCTCTGCATTCCGTTGATCGTTGGATGATCCCGGATCATTTCCTTCCGCCTCTGCATTTACGTTTCATAACACCATTCCCCGCGGTCGCGTTAGTGAGTATTCGCTCTACTTCTTCACACGCTGTGTCAGCCCATACACGTTAGGCAGAGCTTTCAGGCTGAATCCGCCCCCTTCGTCCGTGTTTCCCGCGTAAGGATGGCGGCAAAAGAGACAGAAAAACCTCGACGGCGGCTCTTCAACAGCCCCGCAAAAGGCGGCGCTGATAGCGGCGTCCGAGGCGCCGCCAGGGGCGCCGCTGACCCTGTCCCCGCCCGCGCCGCGACTTCCGGTGGGTTGAAAGAAACCGTCGAATTGGGGAAGAAGCGCGGCGCGTGGACGGCGGCGGAGGACGCGGAGCTGTGCGCTTACGTGGCAAAGTACGGCGCGGGGAATTGGAAGCACGTGACGGCGGCGACGGCGCTGAAACGCGACGCGCAGAGCTGCCGCCTGCGGTGGTCCAGCCATCTAGACCCTAAGGTACGCATCATGGGGCACGTCACGAAAATGAGGGCAAGGGGAGGGGGGAGGCGGAGAGGGGAGTGGGAGGGGGGAGGGGGAGGGGTGAGAGGGGCGAGGGGGGCGGGGGGCGTGGGGAGGGGAGGAGAAAGGGAGGGAAACGGTGGAGAGACCTGGGCTCTCAATGCAGGTCAACCGCTCGCTTTTTCTGACGGCTCTGCCTATTTTTCTCTCACCCCCATCTTCTCTCCTCCCTCTCTCCCTCCCCCCGTCCCCCCACCCCCCCTCCCCCTTTCCCCCCCCCTTCCCCCCGCCCCAATTCCCGCAAATGCAGGTCAACCGCGCTCCATTTGTGATACCTCTTCCATTTGTCCTCCCCCCCCCCCCCCCCCCCCCCCCCCCCCCCCCCCCCCAACACCCCTTCCTGCACATGGGGCTCCCCTCTGTCACCCCACCCGCCCTCTCCTGCTCCTTTCCCTTTTCCCTCCCGTCCCCCTTTCCCCCTTCCCCCAAATGCAGGTCAACCGCGCGCCACAGAGGAAGACGCTCGACTGCTAAAGAGCGTCGCATGGGGCTCCCACGGCGAAACCAAGTGGGCGGCTTTTGAGTTGACCCAATATTTCGCCCTTTTCCCGCCTCACCCCCTCCCTCCACCAATGCAGGTCAACCGCGCGCCCTTTACCCCAGATGCAGACGCCCGACTGCTGGCAAGCGTCGCATGGGGCTCCCACGGCTATTTTCCGCTGACTCAACCCTGCCATACATCCATCTTCCCTCCACCAATGCAGGTCAACCGCGCCCCATTCACGCCAGAGGAGGACGCAAGACTGCTCGCAAGCGCCGCATGGGGCTCCCACGGTTTGCCTTGAGCCAACTATAGGAATGCCTTCTTTCCCCCCCCCCCCCTCCCCTCCCCCCCCTCCCCAATGCAGGTCAACCGCGCCCCGTTCACGCCAGAGGAGGACGCTCGACTGCTAACAAGCGTCGCATGGGGCTCCCACGGCTATTTTCCGCTGACTCAACCCTGCCATCCATCTTCCCTCCACCAATGCAGGTCAACCGCGCCCCATTCACGCCAGAGGAAGACTCTCGACTGCTAGCAAGCGTCGCGTGGGGCTCCCACGAAACCAAGTGGGCCGCGATCGCCTCGGCGAAATTCCCCTCGCGAACTGGTTACCAGATCCAGAGCCGCTGGCACAGCCTCGTGAACAAGCAGCGCCGGTGGACCAACGAGGCCTCTGCTCCCTCCCCTGGAGAAGGAAGGTCGCTGATGGGGGGAAACACTACTACCGCCGGCGCCACAGATGCTTCCCCTGTTGCTACCTTGCTCGGAGGGGGAAGGTCGTCGGCAGGGGGAAACACTACTGCCGCCACAGATGCTCCACCTGTCACCGCCCCGCTGGGAAGGTCGGCGGGAAACACTAGCTCCGCTACTGTCACCCCGCCGCCCTCTTCCGCCCAGCCCATCAGGTCGGCGGGAAACACTAGCTCCGCTACTGTCACCCCGCCGCCCGCTGCCGCCCGGGAGCGGCCGGCGAGGAAAACCGCCGCCACAGATGCTTTGGCTGTTGTGACAGGTGGAATTACGGCACATGCCACATGCCCCACTACCCCTGGAACTACTTCCTCAGGTGCTCTCTCAGGTGTTGCCTCAGGTGATTTGCCGTGTGTTGCTCCAAATGCCTCTGCTTCGATTGCCGTTAAAGACTCTGCTGATCCCTCAGCCGTTGCTGCGTTCATCCTGGCCCTCCAATCCGCAATCAACGGCCTCCCTCGATCCGCAAGCTCAGGCACCCAATTACACCCATCCACCCCTGCACGTTCTGCCCCTCCTCCTCCTCCCCCTCCTGCTGCTGCTACAGCCGCCTTAGGTGCTACCTCTGTAGGTGCTACCTCTGTAGGTGCTACCCCTGCTCCTGCTGTTTCCCCTGCTGCTGTAGCTGCTGCTGCTGCTGCTGCTGCTGCCCTTGGCCACTGCTTCTGCCGCTGCTGTTACAGCCCTGCTAGGTGCTTCCTCTGTAGGTGCTACTCCTGCTACAGCCCCTGCTGCTACTCCCTCGGAAGTTGTTGCGTTCATCCAGGCCCTTCGATCTGCAATCAACGGCTGTGATCAACCCTCAAGTTCGACACACACCCTTCAGTATTCCACCACCACCCATGTGGACACACCCTCCCGCCATTCCACGACCCTTCAGAAAGCCACCCAACCGAATTCAATCGTTTCTAGATGCGCCTCGGTGCAACTGCTGGGCTCTAGCCTGGGTTTCATCACCGGTTCAAAACGACCCCACACCGCTCTGCTGCCACCCACCACTGCTCTGTTGCCACCCACCACCGCTCTGCCTCGTCCCAGCACCGCACCAGCAAGAGCATCACCAGCAGCAGCATTGGAGCTTCCGCTTTTCCCAGTTACCCCTCAATCTGCCAGCAGCAAAATTGATTCCGACTCACAGGATTCTGGCCTTAATTTAGCGCTTTCCCTGCAGGCCCCTACTCGTTCTTCCAACACACATGCCACTGCCACTGCTTCTCCAACAAGGTTTAGCAGGGTGGATGCTCATCAGTCAACACTAGGAGGGGCAGACATGCTGGTTCGGTCAAGGCTTGGAGGGGTGAATGTTGCTGCGACAACACTTAACGAGGCTGACTTGCTGGTTCGGTCAAGGCAGTCCACTCTAGGAGGGGCTGACATGCTGGTTCGGTCCGACAGCGGCAATGGTTGGATAATGAAGCGCGCTTATAGCGAGGCTTTTGAGCCCGAGGCTGCTGGTGAAGCTGAAGCTGATGCTGCTGACGTGGCACAAGAAATGGTGAAAGGCACGGCACGGCAAGGCATGGCACACGGCATGCTGAAAGGCGCGGCACAGCAAGGGACCAGTTTAGCCGAAGAGTGCGACGAGGAGGCTAATGGATGGGACAGGGGGCTTGCAAAGCGAGTGAGGACAGAGAGTGTGACCACTATTAAGACGCATCAAGTATTGTCCCGAGAGGTGCTGCAAGGCATGCTGAAAAGTGAGGTTACGCATGGATGGGCCATTTCTGCCCTCCCTGCTGCTGCTGCTGAAGCCGCTGCTACCATTCCGGCCGTCCCTGCCATCCCGCGTTCAAGTAGCGGGGGCAGCAGCACGTGCAGCAATGCAGTAGCATGTGGGGGTGAGGAAAAGGAATGGGATGGAATGCAGATGCAGGGTGTTGAGGTGGGGGTTTTGCTGGAACAGCGGAGGAGGCAGCAGCAAGCTCAGGAGGTTCAGTGGGAGAGAGAGAAGAAGTTGCTGCTCTGTGGGAAGCAGGAGAGGAGCGAAGGGAGGGAGGAGCGAGAGGGGAGAGAGGGGGGTAGAGAGCAGGGACAGCACCAGCAGCACCGGCAGCAGCAGCGCCAGCAACATCAACAAGAACAGCGGCAACAGCAGCTGCACCAGCAGTTGACTCTGCATGTGATTGCCGGGTTGCTGCTGAAACACGGATGAAGCACGGGGCTTTGAGTTGCAGTGCAGCTTTACATACCTACGTTGACAATAGATTTGTGTACACATACTGCCATCGTGAAATTTCTATAGGTAGTGTAGAATATGTGGCTTGTGTAGACAGTAAGATGAGTTGCTTAGCTTGAATTGCTTAGTTTGAGTTGCTCTATTCGTGTCAGAGTAGAAAAGTGCCCTTTCTAATATGGTGCATGTGAGTATACACAAGTGTGTTTCAAAAACCTTGACCATGATATTCTTCTGTAATTTCCATCCGTAAATGCATTGATTATCCCATTTTCGAGTTTTGCTTTGGTAGGGGCCGCGCGAACGCGAGCCCCCTCTGCCACAAATTATGACGTGCATCACCGGGAGTTCCGGCGTGCTAGGGACAGGGCCGGCCGAAGTGCAATGGCGGGCCCGCCCCTAGGCCATCGGCCTTCTTGATCACCGATTGACCCCGCCCAGGTAAGTATGCCTTCCCCATCTCAAAACTTCGGTTTATGAAGCGACGAAGTGATTTTGTACATCTGTAAGTTGTGGGACTATTTTGCCACGTGTCTTTTCGAGATGGTTGGGTTGGGGTTCAGGAAGTTGGTTTTTGCGGGTCTCGGAGACGCGAATTGGACACCTGCAACCAGCGAATTCGTACTTCGAACTTCATCCTCCACTGAACTACCAAGTTCACCGTGCCTTCCCTCAAACATCCCGCGCCGAAGCGGAATGCTTTTCTCGCGAGTCCTTCTAACGAGGACGAATCTTTTAAGAATTTCCGTCGCGACTAGCTTTAGAACAGATTTAGCCAACATAGGCCGCGATTGTTGCTCTAAGACTATAACCGCCCAAACGCTTGTCAGTAACGGTTGTGCGAGAAACATTCAAAAGCAGCAGCAGCAGCAGCAGCAGCAGCAGCAGCAGCAGCTTTCGCTCGCATTTCTCGTTTCTACTCCTCCGCTTTCACCCTTCGCGCTGCACGCGCGCAGCATTTTCCGCTTCTCTGCTGTATCGCAGACGGGATTGAGACAGGCGGAAACGGCGACAGGGGCGGGGTCGGCGGAACTGACGGCGGAAGGGGCGGGGATGGCGGAATCGGCGGAAGCGTCGGGAACGGCAGAAACAGGAATGGCAGAAACGGCGGCGACCGCGACAGCGGCAGCAGCTCCTTCCTCGGGGGTCACCACGATAGGTCCATCAGAGGCGTCGTCAGCCGTCGATTTCCTGATGATGATCCAGCCGCTAAAGGTCCGACGATCCGACGGTCCAGGTGTCCGATAGTCAGCGTATCAACACTGTGAAGTTTTAAGAAATCTTAGGTACATGCTTGAAAGGGCGATTAGTTGTATCGGATTTCAGATCTCCCCCATCTAAGCACTAGAATGAGCGCGTAACCCTGCGCTTCGCGCGCCTCATCGCACGATAGCAGGACGCTTTGCGCGCGTGACAGGATAATTCAGGTTTCTGAAGCAACGGTTTTGGCGTTGAAAATTGGCACGAGTGGTGGGGAATGCGTGCATGACTCCTCTTCCCCCTCCTCCCTGCCCTCCTCCCTGCCCCACTCCCTGCCCCACTCCCTGCCCCACTCCCTGCCCTCCTTCCCGCCATATCCCCCCTGAAACCATGTACCCTGAATCCTAGCACCCCCCCCCCCCCCCCCCCCCCCCCCCCCCCCCCCCCCCCTGCACACCCCAACCCGTTCCCCTTCCCCTTCCTCTCTCCGCCTTTTCCGCCCCTCCCCCTCTTCCCCCATTTTCCCCGTCCCCCCTGAATCATGACCCAAAAACTCTGAATCTCAGACACTGAAGAGGACGGGGTGGGTGAAGCGGGGAGTGCAGGGGCCAGAGTCGATAGGCGACCACATGCACCGCATGGCTTTGATGGCATTTGTGCTTTCTGGGGTGGAGGGGATTGACAGGGAGAGGTGAGTCACAGGGGGTGTGTGGTGTGGGTGGTGGGTGAAGCGGGGAGTGCAGTGGCCAGAGTCAATAGGTGACCACATGCATCGCATGGCATTGATGGCGTTTGTGTTGTCTGGAGTAGAGGGGATCAACAGAGAAAGGTACGTGCTGGATAGTGGGGGCTGTGTGGAAAGGAGGGGTTTTGGAGGGGCAGGGGCCAGAGTCGATCGGCGACCACATGCATTGCGTGGAGTGGCGTTGAGGGGATTGACAGGGAGAGGTGAGTGCAGGGGTAGTGGGGGGTGTGTGGAAAGGAGGTGAGGGTTGATGGAATTGGTTGGGAGGTGCAGGGCCAGAGTCGATAGGCGGTGACCACATGCACCGCATGGCGCTCATGGCGTTCATGCTGGGTGGTTTTCAGGGGATCGACAGAGAATGGTGAGAGAAAGGAAAGTGATTTGGGGAGGTTAGGAGGATAGGAGGGAGGAACCGATTGGCGATGAAATGTTTTGGGCTAAAGACACTGAGGTTTCTTGGTGCGTGCATGTGTGTGTGTGTGTGTGTGTGTGTGTGTGTGTGTGTGTGCGTGCGTGCGTGTGTGTGTGTGTGTGTGTGTGTCTGTGTGTGTGTGTGTGTGTGTGTGTGTGTGTGTGCGTGTGTGCGTGTGTGTGTGCGTGCGTGTGTGTGTGTGTGTGTGCGTGTGTGTGCGTGTGTGTGTGTGTGTGTGCGTGCATGTGTGCGTGTGTGTGTGTGTGTGTGTGCGTGTGTGTGTGTGTGCGTGTGTGTGTGTGCGTGTGTGCGTGTGTGCGTGTGTGCAATGTGTGTCCCTCTGTTCTTCCATTCTCCTCTGCCAAATTCCCCTCTGGTAACCCCTCACATCCCCTCTCACATTCCCCCCCGCCCCCTCTCCCTTTCCTCCCCCTACCCTCAAAACGTCCTTCACTTTTCCTCTGCCACTTCCTCTCTTCACAACCCTTCACACACCCTTGTTTCGCCCCTCTCCCTTGCAGCAATAGCAGAGTGGGTTAGAACAGTAGGAGAAGCGACAGGCGCCCTCTTCACACCCCCAAATCCCCTCTTCCTTTCCCACCCCTCTTCGCCCCTCCATTGACTCCTTGCAGCAATTTCTCCCTGTCATGGGGAGTGGGTAAGGACAGGAGGAGATTCTACAATCACCCGTACTCACTCCCCGCACTCCCCTCTTCCTCCCCCCCCCCTTCTCCCTCTCCCCTCCTTTCTTGCAGCAATAGCGGGTGACATCTCCCCGTCGGTGGAGTGGGTAAGGACAGGAGGAGAAGCGTTAAGGGCCCTATTCTCCAGCCGAGATGCTCGCTCTGTGGGAGGAGTGTGAAGCAAAAGAGACGAGTGTCCATTGCACTCCCTTCATTGCCGTCATGCGGAGTGGACAAGGAGGAGAAGCATTGAATGGAGAGGGAGGGCCTGGGGCACATGGTTGCTGCTCTCTCCCCTCCACGCTTTCTCTCCTCCCACCTGCTCTTTTTCCCACACCAACTCCCCCCACCCGGCCCTCCCTTACAGCTATAGCTGGTGACATCACCCCGTCGTTCGGAGTGGGCAAGGAGGAGAAGCATTGAATGGAGAGAGGGACACTCTGGAGAAGATGTGTTCATGCCACACTCTACCCCTTCTCACCCACCTGTTCCCTCTGCTCCCACTCACATGACCGCCCTTGCTCCCCCTGTCTTTCCCTTGCAGCTATAGCAGGCGACATCACCCCATCGTGCGGAGTGGGCAAGGAGGAGAAGCATCGCATGGAAAGGGAGGCCCTCGAGAAGATGTGTGCTGCTTTAGGCCCCAACCGCACGGCAGCAGGTGGGTGGTCAAGGCAGCAGGTGGGTGGTCAAGGCAACAGGCAGCATGTTTATCTGTGTCATGCGGAGTGGGCAAGCCGCAAGGAGGAGAAGCACCAAATGGAGAGGGAGGCTCTCGAGAAGATGTGTGCCGCGCTGGGCCCCAACCGCAAGGCAGCAGGTGAGGGATAGAAGGGGCAATTTCCTATGTATTGTGCGGGGAGTGGGTAAGGAGGAGAAGCACCATAGAGTGGTCCCGTAGAGAGGGACGCTCTGAGGGAGATGTGTTGTGCTCTGGGACCCAACCATAAGGCAGCAGGTGAGTGGTAGGAGCATCTCCAGAGCGTAAACTGCAGAAATGAGGCAGCAGGCACTCCAGAAATGAGTGCCAACTACGACCGCATCCTGCCGCCTGGCGCAGAAATGAGTGCCAACTACGACCGCATCCTGCCGCCCGGCGCAGAAATGAGTGCCAACTACGACCGCATCCTGCCGCCCGGCGCAGAAATGAGTGCCAACTACGACCGCATCCTGCCGCCCGGCGCAGAAATGAGTGCCAACTACGACCGCATCCTGCCGCCCGGCGCAGAAATGAGTGCCAACTACGACCGCATCCTGCCGCCCGGCGCAGAAATGAGTGCCAACTACGACCGCATCCTGCCGCCCGGCACAGAAATGAGTGCCAACTACGACCGCATCCTGCCGCCCGGCGCAGAAATGAGTGCCAACTACGACCGCATCCTGCCGCCCGGCGCAGAAATGAGTGCCAACTACGACCGCATCCTGCCGCCCGGCGCAGAAATGAGTGCCAACTACGACCGCATCCTGCCGCCCGGCGCAGAAATGAGTGCCAACTACGACCGCATCCTGCCGCCCGGCGCAGAAATGAGTGCCAACTACGACCGCATCCTGCCGCCCGGCGCAGAAATGAGTGCCAACTACGACCGCATCCTGCCGCCCGGCGCCCGCCGCCGTCCGGGCGGCAAACTGCAACTTCCAGAGCGCCTTTTCAGCTTATTCCTGCACCTTCGTCTGCTACAGGACAATCGGATTTCAGTACGACGAGTACGGAATTCGACCAAACGGGATGGCGAATCTACCGAGCACGGTCTTTCAACCCTATTCCTACATGAAAATCACTTGAACGGACGACGGAACGAAGTTTTTCGCTTACGGAATGGATAATGATGACCCGAACAGCAAACCGGCGGGCACGAGTAAAAAAACCCGGTTTGTAACCGCGTCGCTTTTAGCCGGATACACTTACGCGGATAGAGGTGGTTCCGGCGGAAACTAACAAAGACTTTTACCCAAGTAGTATGCGGCTGATGGCGTTTGGTTTTCAGGGGTGTTCCGGCGCGGTTACCCTTATCATCGACTCACCGACAAACGGACGTGCCTACAGTGCCGTGCTCTTCTGTGGATGCGACGAGGGTTTATAAGGAGTACGTGTGCGGAGAGGGGAAGGCAAGATTGCAGCTGGAGGTTGGGGCGAACAGCACTGGCAGGGGGCTTGCTAGTAGACAAATGTATCAGCATCAGTCATTAGCACCACACGAAGAGGGATGCATTGAGGCACATGTGTGCTGCTCTGGGCCCCAACCGCAAGGCAGCAGGTGAGGGTTTTGGGAAGGCAGATGAGGGTGAGTAGGAGCAATTGCAGGGCGGATTTGGTGCTGGGAAAGATGGAGAGAGGGAGGCAGATGTGTGCTGCTTTGAGCCTAAACCACAAGGCAGCAGGTGAGGGTTTTGAGAAGGCAGATGAGGGCCGGGAGGAGCCTTTGCACGGCACTTTTGAGAATTCTCAAAAGTAACACCAATGTGCGTTCCACACCTCTTCCATTCCCATCCGCTCCCCCCGTTCCCCCTCAACACCAGCCGAGATGCTGTCTCTGTCAGAGGAGTATGAAGCAAACGAGACCAAAAAAGCCTTCTGTTTCCTCCCTTCCTTCCCCTCCTTTTCCTCTCCCTGCCGCTCCCCCTCCCCGCCCCCCCTCCCCTCCCCTCCCCCCAACACCAGCCGAGATGCTCTCTTTGTGGGAGGAGTATGAAGCAAACTGTCAGAATCCCAGTCACTAACCACTGGGATAAAAGGGCTTGTTTGTGTAGCGGGTGAGTGCGCCCATAACCCCCCAGGCCGACGTGCCTGTAACCCTCCCCTAGGATCAATCGGGGATCACCAGTGGACCTCTGACACCCCCCCCGCACTGGGATGCCCGAGGTGCACACACCGGGATTCGAACCCGAGACCTTCGCTCTGATACCATGTCAGAATCCCAGTCACTAACCACTGGGATAAAAGGGCTTGTTTGTGTAGCGGGTGAGTGCGCCCATAACCCCCCAGGCCGACGTGCCTGTAACCCTCCCCTAGGATCAATCGGGGATCACCAGTGGACCTCTGACACAAACGAGGCGAATGAGGCACTTCTGTTTCCTCCCTTCCTTCCCCTCCTCTTCCTCTCCCTTCTGTCCCCTCCCCACAACACCAGCCGAGATGCTCGCTCTATGGGAGGAGTATGAAGCGAACGAGTCGAATGAGGCTCGACTGGTGAAGGATTTTGATAAGGTGAGAGACGTGCACGCACATGCACTCATGCACACATCCACACATGCATATATACACACTCACGCACACGCACGGACACATGCACGCACCCACCCTTCCCCCCCCCCACCACCACACACGCGCACACGCACTCTTGTCCTGCGTTGCATGTCTTATATGAGATTCTCGAAAGTGACATAATATTGCCGTCGTATATCCTTCCATTTCTCTCTTTTCTGATTCTTTGCCATTTTCAACTATTTCATCCATAACACGTGATGTTCTACTATTCTAACCGTCAGCTGGAGATGATTTTGCAAGCGCATGAGTATGAGCAAGGTGAGCTATACAGAAGTGGCCTTTAAGGAGTATAGCATTTTTCTTACCATCATGAGTACATTGATGCTCTCTTGAGATAAAAAATGATTCTGCAAGCACATGATATACCCACTTTTCTGTCACGCACACTCGTATCACTTCTCTTCACCCGTGCACTCATTCTTATGTTTTTTCCCTGCACCCCTGCATCCTGTTCACCCAAACCACCTTCTCTTTTTTTTTTTTTTTTTTTCTTCTTCTTTTTTTTTTTCTTCTTTCTTTCTTTCCCTGCACCTATGCATCCTCCACTTCGTTTGCTGCTGCTTAGCCCAAGGCATGGAGCTTCGGGAATTCTTCGATTCAACAAAAGGTACACTGGTTAGTTAGGACAGGAGTTCAGTATGTGAGTTGGAGTGGGCGGGGGGTTGATTAGTTTGCATTGCATAGGCGCTCAGTCTTTGGGCGCATCAAGGGTTTACTTTTGAGGCGCCTCAAAAGTGCATTGATTAGTTTGCATTGCATAGGCTGCTCAGTCTTTGGGCGCATCAAGGGTTTTGAGTTGCCGAAGGCATGGAGTTTTGAGTTTTGAGGAGAGGAGAGGAGAGGGATTGGAGGGTATACGGGGGAGGAGGGGGTCAGGGCTGGGAAGGGGAGAAGCGGGAATGGCGTTTGGGAGGGTGTGTGGTGGAGAAGGGTGAGGGGGAAGTGAGTAGACAAAGAAGGTGTGTTTCCATCTCCTATTTAATGGTTCATTGCGAATGACCTTATTGTGTGTCCTTTTGTGTGTCCTCAAAAGTCATCTCGATTAATTTCTTGCGAGTGATCTTATTGTGTTGCAGACCGATGGCAAACAGACGTGGGGAGGTTAGTGGCTGCTGATATTGTGGGTAGGCGAAATAAGGCGAAGGGGAAGTGAGGGGAAGGGAATGTAAGGGGTAGGGGCGGACGATTGTGTGAATGGCCTTATTGTGTGTTGCAGACCGATGGCAAACGGACGTGGGGAGGTTAGTGGCTGCTGATATTGTGGGTAGGCGAAATAAGGCGAAGGGGAAGTGAGGGGAAGGGAAGGTAAGGGGTAGGGACGGAAGATTGTGTGAAGGGCCTTATTGTGTGTTGTAGACCGATGGAAAACGGACGTGGGGAGGTTAGTGGCTGCTGATTTTCCTGCAAAGTGTATCCAGTGTTGTGGATGGTGTTTAAGTTGCTTGTCTGGCAAGATTGCAGTTTTGTTAACGAAAGGATCACAACACCACTTTTTTTTTGGAAGTAACTATATTGGGAAAGCTTGCTTCTGTAGCAATTGGCATCGTTCTCATTACAATGGGTTCAAGTACAACAGTTCCTAGCAGTTATACTAATATACTATCACATCCAAAATGTCTAAGAACTACTACTCTCATAAGTTGACTAGCCTGGGGAGGGTGGGTGGGAATTGAACTTGAGCGATTGTAAAATGAGAGACGTGGGTGGGGGAAGAATGACCCCAGCCCACATTATATATTCGGAGAAGGCGAATACCGCGCTTCGACGATGCACAAAATTGCGTTACAGTCAGCTTCGCTTTCACAATACGCAAATTTGAAAGCGATAAAACGCTTACTTTTTTTTATATTATCAAACATAGATACATCCCAAGTCGTAACTGTATTCTTGGAGGGCCTGGGCTATGCTAAACCGGGGCACAGCCTATCCCCCCTATAGTCCTTTACGGTGGCTGATGAAAAGTGCGTGGGTTGCGCCAGATGGATAGGAATTGAGCCGTCCAAGCCGTTGGCCCTTCCTCGTCGCAGATTTTCCGTAAATGCTTCCACACTCAAACTACATTGGGCATCTAACCTTGGCCGCGTTCAGCGTCCGCATCAGAGCCTGATGCGCCCTAGGCTCGGCAAATTGACAAATTGAAAAATTGAGGCTCGGTAATGTCCAAATTGAAATTAGGAAATGGAGGTTCGGAAAATGGACACGCAGGTTCGGGAAATCGGAAATTGGGGATGTCGAATTTCGGGCATGTCAAATTTCGACCCCAAAATTCCGACGAATTCCAGGGTGTTGAGCTTTCATCGAAGTGGGGAAGAACGCACCTGGCGCCTTCCCCACATGCATGTTTCGCTGTTCAATTGCCCCAATTCGAGCTGATGCGCGCATCATGCGTGTTTAGGGCGTTGCATCATGCGCGCATCAAGGATGCGTCAGATTGCTAGTACGCTGTATTTCCTGGAAAGCGGCGACATGCAAATTTGTGGTTGCCAAAAAGACCGTTCTGCAGGCATTCGGGCTTGGTCTGCTTCGGCAGCCAAGCGCTTATCACGAACCTTGATAGCCTTTCGGCTGGTTATCACGGAAGGCTCCTGGAACATCGAAAAAAATGTGCAATGTACATTGGTGCGGGCTAATGCGGCCGCCGAACGCAGCCCTTACATTGTACGGAAGCAGCATCTGTGATGTCAGGGGTAGGTGGTACACATGGTCTGCGCTATTTTCACACCCCCCTTTTTCACACCCCTGTGTATTCGTTCCTGATTTACCCTATATTAGGTGTTGTTTCGATCAGTTTGGCTATAAAGATGATCCGATGGGGTCGCAGCTAAACAAAAAACCTAAAACATGGTCGCAGCGGAAGATCCAGTCTTTGCGCTACAGTCACAGTGTAAGAGTTCTACAACTTCGACACTCCACAATGCCACGAATAGTCTACAGTTTCGGGGTGTCTGATACCTCTAGTCAGATAAGGTCAAAAGGGGCTTTAAGGGAAAACCGAGGGGGTGTGAAAATAGCGCGGACCATGTGTAAACAAAACCGCCTGAAAAAACACACACGAACCCCCCTGAAGAAACAATGAACCCCCCTGATTGGGCCCGGAACCTGCGCAGCAACAATGCACTGCAGGTTGCGCACGGGAACGGTAGTTGTTTCGTCTTCCTTCCTTCCCCGTATCCCCTATAATGCCGGACATATTTTTCCACACCCCATCCCCACAACCCCGCACCCAAGTTTGGTGGGAACCATTTTATCAGCCGTTGTGGTAGCCTCCGTTCCAGGAGCTTTTTGTTGCCGTTGAATGTACCAAAAAACTTTTTCATCCGTTCGTCAAACACCGGACAGCGGGGACAACTGTATGCCGAAAATGCAGGCTCGTGACCTGTTGTCAACATGTGCTGGAGAAATGACTGGTAGTGGTGGGTGGAGTTGTCCACCACAGTCCTTCCGTGGCACGATCCGTTTCATGCAACAGCAGTCGCCCCCATGCACTGTAGTGCGGTCAAAGATTTTCGGTATGTTCACAATTGCCCGACCACAGAGCACCGAGGCTTCAAAACTCAAAATGTGGGAAAGCACGATCGGAATTGAAGATGAGAAGCAATTTGTGCAAACAAATTCCCACCATTGCAACCGATTGTAGTGTATACCATTAGTTAGCATGTTTTTAGTGTGCCCGCCGCTTTGGGCAGATACAATTTGAGGGAAGGCAAATGTGTTGCAATATGCACTGCAGCGAGCAGGTGCAATGTTGCAGTAGATTTGCTTTTTAAACAAACGTTCGTACAATACACCATTCAAGAAATGCACCCTAATAATTAAAAAACCACGCTACACAATCGTGAAAGTGATTCACTAATAAAACATGTGATGCTCAGTGAAAAAGGGCCGGAATATGAGACTGTAAATAAGGATGTCATTCAAAAGAAGAAGTGAAACGAAATTCATATTTTGTCGTTATTTGTCCCGCCCAATCACTGTAGTAAAAACGCGACAATTCACCCACATAATACAGCCCAAGCCAAATACTGTTGCAATCTCGCAATCTTCAACTGGACACGTGTTCCAAAGCATGCCCCAGATACAGTTGCCAGCCAACCGGTCGAGGCCACTGCCAAACTGGATTGTTTGTCAACGAATTCTCGCTCGCCGCAATCAAGCACCAATGAACAGGGTTCTGTGAGGGACGGGAGGGGAACCGCAACCGCAAGCATCCGATAGGGTTGTTGGCGAGTTCGTGTTCATCGCACATATCAGATCGGATCAATCTGAATGTGCACTCTGGATTTGCACCACAAGAGCGGTCGAGTGCATCCTCCTGAAACCTCTTTGCATTCGGGCTTGAAACCCTCGTTCCCCCCAGAGAGCACACGCCTCACACTCAAGAACAGCATCTGATGCTCCAACCGCTCTTCTGTAGCTGTTTACCTTTACACACTCATCACTTCTTGAACATGAACAGAGTTCATTCAAGCAAGCTGCTCCGATTATTGCTTATGCCTCGTGAGTCACGCTAAGATACTTCATTTTCGCTTATTCACAAGTAGATCCGTGTTGCGGAGATTTTCGCACTGCGACGCGCATAACTGTGGAGAGAAGACAGCTGTCGTTTAAGTTGTTTTGGCCGTCTCATTGCCTGGAATCACAATGAAAAGTAATTATACATGACCTATAAGTACTTAGTACGGGGGGCACACAATTTGTGATGTTACTCATGTTATCTGAAGATGACCACATTGTCATAATGTGACAGAATTTCTCTCCCTCTTTTTATGCTTCAGTTCCTCCGAAAGTTTCTATGCACTGTCCACACTGGCAGTGTCCCCCTCCCTCACTCTCCCTCAGGAAGGGAGGCTCCCTCCCCCCCTCCCTCCCTCCCCCCCTCCCTCCCTCCTCCCTCCCTCCCTCCTCCCTCCCTCCCTCCCCCCCCCCCTCCCTCCCTCCCTCCCTCCCTCCCTCCCTCCCTCCCTCCCTCCCTTTTTCCCTCCTTTTTCTCCCTCCCTCCCTCCCTCCCTCCCTCCCTCCCTCCCTCCCTCCCTCCCTCCCTCCCTCCCTTTTTCCCTCCTTTTTCTCCCTCCCTCCCTCCCTCCCCCCCGCCCTCCCTCCCTCCCTCCCCCCCCCTCCCTCCCTCCCTCCCTCCCTCCCTCCCTCCCTCCCTCCCTCCCTTTTTCCCTCCTTTTTCTCCTTCCCTCCCTCCCTCCCGCCCGCCCGCCCTCTCCCTCTCTCTGACCCCCCACATCGTCATCTTGTGAGGGAACAAGTTACGTTTTCCCACTCTCCTGATCCCTCGCAATCAATACTATCGCACACTCCTCTTGATTCACGCAGTCGTTACAAAAATATATATATGATGGCATTAAGGATGAAGAACCTTTTGCTCGCTCCTTCTCTGCTTCACTCACTCTCTCTCCCACGGAAAAAGGGTCTTTTCTCTTCAACTTTCTCCTCCCCATCTCCCCATCTCCCCCATCTCTCCTCCCCTCCTTCTCCCCCCTCCGTTTTCCCGTCTCTCCCCTTCCATTACCCTGTTACAAATCATATCCGTGTCAATACACAAACCACAGGTCTTCTGTACAACAAGCCGCTGCCACACAGCTTCGTTATGCTGTACAAGCTTGTCCTTGCGCACACGCGGCCATAGCTGTTGCTTATCATGACTGCTCGAATCAGATCTCAAGGAGTTCTTTTTGAATAATTCGCAATGGAGCACTCAAAGGACGGCCGACCAATCACAGCAAAGCGGCACTGGCCGGCAAGGTTTGGCCTAGACGATGAGGACAACGGGGAAGGGGAGGGGGGCGACGGGAGGATTGAATCTAGGAGAGGGGACCAGGGAAGGGAAGGGGAAAAGGGGAAGGGAAAGCTAGAGGAGGAGAGCGCAAATCAAGAGGGGCTTCTTTTTAGGGGGAAGGAAGGGGAAGGGAGGAGGGTAAATCAGGAGGCGGTGAGCATAGAACAGGGAGGGAGCGGCAGCAGCAGGGGTGGATGGGGAAGGTCGGCGGGACTGTCAGAATCGCCCAAGAAGCATCAGTCGGCGCATCGGGACCCTCCATCCGCGTTAGGATCTGTCCCAGCACGAGAACAGAGCATGCTAGATGAGCAGCAGTGGTGGAGGGAGATACTGGGAGGCGATGCTGCCTTGGAAGCTTCGGTAGGAAATATGGGCAGCGAAGATTTGATTGGTAATATGGTCAGCACCGCAGCAGGAGATTTGGGCGGCGATGATTTGATTGGCAGTTTGGGCGGCACTGCAGCTGGCTGGCTGGGCGGCGATCTTATTGAGACTTTGGGGAGAAGAAGAAGCAGTGTAGAGAGTGCAAGTATCAACAGATTACTTAGCAATGATTCTGCACCTAGTATATCTGGTGTGAACGATGAGGGGTTGCTACTGGATCAAGCACTGCTGCTGCCGCAGTTTCCCGTGCAGCCTCAACAGCAGCCAGTGCTGTTGTCGCAGGGTGCGTTTCAGGTGCCTCTGATATCTGAGAGTCCTTTTCCCCAGCCGCTGCCGCCGCAGCAGCAGCAGCAGCAGCCGCCGCCGCCGCCGCCGCCGCCACCGCAGCAGCAGCAGCAGGGGCAGCAGGGGCAGCAGGTTTTTCTGTCACAGGCTGTTTTTGAGGAGCCTCAACCCATGCAGACTCCTTTTTCCCAGCACCAGCGACAACAGCAGCGGCAGCAGCAGCATCAGCAACAGCAACAGCCACAACAGCTGCAGCAGCAGCACCAGCAACAGCCACAACAGCAGAAATCACAGCCGTCGTTGCAGCAGGGGCAGCAACAGCGGCAGCAGCACGAATGGGAGGCTATTGCGAAAAGCTTGTTGGAGAGTGTAAGAGGGACAGGGAGGGGAGGAGCAGAAGGAGGAGGAGTCGGAGGAGGGAAGAGTTTGAGTGACGGACAGGGAACATGCGAGAGAAGGGAGGAGAGGAGGGTAGTTCAGAGAAAATCGGAGAAGGGGTTTGGGTTTTCAAGGGGAGCGAGTGAGGGAGGTGCTGTAAAAAGAGAGAGTGAGGAGGAGCTTGAGATGGGAGTGAGGGGAGGAGGCGTGTTGGGGAGAGAGAGTGTGGAAGCAGCTTTGCAGCTTGGTGGCTTGCTGAAGTTCAGAGCATCAGAAAGCATAGGAGGAGGAGAAGCAGCAAAAGGAAGAGAAGGAGAAGGAGGTTCAGCAGCAGGAGAAGCAGTAGCAGGAGCAGTAGGAGGAGCATCAGGAGAAGCAGCAAGGGAATCAGCAGCAGTGAGAGTAGAAAGATATGAAAGTGGAGGGAAAACGGGTTGCTTGGGACAGGGTGACAGGGCCAGGGAGGTTAAGAGGATGGTGGTGGTTGATGAGTTAGAGGCAGCAGCAGAGCAGATCAGGCAGCACAGGTCGCACCAACAGCCGTTGGATCAGCACGCGTTGCATCAGCAGCCGTTGGATCAGCATCTGGTCCCTTCTCACATGCAGTCGATCCCCTCCTCTGCTCCAACTGCTGCTCCCTCAACTGTCCCCCCTGCTGTTGCTGCTCATCCTTATGCTTGTGGTGCTTACACGGCTGCTCCTCCTGCTGCTGCTGCTCCTCCTGCTGCTGCTGCTGCTGCTGCCACTGCTTTTGCTGTTGCTTCCCCTGCTGCTTCTGCTGCTGCGTCTTCTTCATCATCTGCCGCCCCTGCTGCTTCTGCAACAGCTTCTGGGGTAGAAACACTAGCAACAGCAACAGGGTCAGCAACAGTAGCAGTAGAAGGAGGGGTTGCGGCAGGAGGAGCAGCAAGAGGAGGAGCAGGAGAAAACGCAGGAGGAGGCACAGAACAGTCAGCAGAGGGTGGTATGCTTTCTCCTACTGTCCAACAGTACATGAGGCAAATTCAGCTCCTGCAGATGCATCAACAAATGCTGCTTTTGCAGCAGCAGAAGCAGCAGCAGCAGCAGGAGCAGCAGCAGCAGCTGCAAGAACAGCAACAACAGCAGCAACGGCACCAACAGTACCATCAGCAGCAGACGCAGCAGCGGCAGATGCATCAACAAATGCTGCTTCTGTTGCAGGAGCAGCAGCAGCAGCAGCAGCAGCAGCAGCAGCAGCAGCAGCAGCAGCAGCAGCAGCAGCAGCAGCAGCAGCAGCAGCAGCAGCAGCAGCAGCAGCAGCAGCAGCAGCAGCAGCAGCAGCAGCAGCAGCAGCAGCAGCAGCAGCAGCAGCAGCAGCAGCAGCAGCAGCAGCAGCAGCAGCAGCAGCAGCAGCAGCAGCAGCAGCAGCAGCAGCAGCAGCAGCAGCAGCAGCAGCAGCAGCAGCAGCAGCAGCAGCAGCAGCAGCAGCAGCAGCAGCAGCAGCAGCAGCAGCAGCAGCAGCAGCAGCAGCAGCAGCAGCAGCAGCAGCAGCAGCAGCAGCAGCAGCAGCAGCAGCAGCAGCAGCAGCAGCAGCAGCAGCAGCAGCAGCAGCAGCAGCAGCAGCAGCAGCAGCAGCAGCAGCAGCAGCAGCAGCAGCAGCAGCAGCAGCAGCAGCAGCAGCAGCAGCAGCAGCAGCAGCAGCAGCAGCAGCAGCAGCAGCAGCAGCAGCAGCAGCAGCAGCAGCAGCAGCAGCAGCAGCAGCAGCAGCAGCAGCAGCAGCAGCAGCAGCAGCAGCAGCAGCAGCAGCAGCAGCAGCAGCAGCAGCAGCAGCAGCAGCAGCAGCAGCAGCAGCAGCAGCAGCAGCAGCAGCAGCAGCAGCAGCAGCAGCAGCAGCAGCAGCAGCAGCAGCAGCAGCAGCAGCAGCAGCAGCAGCAGCAGCAGCAGCAGCAGCAGCAGCAGCAGCAGCAGCAGCAGCAGCAGCAGCAGCAGCAGCAGCAGCAGCAGCAGCAGCAGCAGCAGCAGCAGCAGCAGCAGCAGCAGCAGCAGCAGCAGCAGCAGCAGCAGCAGCAGCAGCAGCAGCAGCAGCAGCAGCAGCAGCAGCAGCAGCAGCAGCAGCAGCAGCAGCAGCAGCAGCAGCAGCAGCAGCAGCAGCAGCAGCAGCAGCAGCAGCAGCAGCAGCAGCAGCAGCAGCAGCAGCAGCAGCAGCAGCAGCAGCAGCAGCAGCAGCAGCAGCAGCAGCAGCAGCAGCAGCAGCAGCAGCAGCAGCAGCAGCAGCAGCAGCAGCAGCAGCAGCAGCAGCAGCAGCAGCAGCAGCAGCAGCAGCAGCAGCAGCAGCAGCAGCAGCAGCAGCAGCAGCAGCAGCAGCAGCAGCAGCAGCAGCAGCAGCAGCAGCAGCAGCAGCAGCAGCAGCAGCAGCAGCAGCAGCAGCAGCAGCAGCAGCAGCAGCAGCAGCAGCAGCAGCAGCAGCAGCAGCAGCAGCAGCAGCAGCAGCAGCAGCAGCAGCAGCAGCAGCAGCAGCAGCAGCAGCAGCAGCAGCAGCAGCAGCAGCAGCAGCAGCAGCAGCAGCAGCAGCAGCAGCAGCAGCAGCAGCAGCAGCAGCAGCAGCAGCAGCAGCAGCAGCAGCAGCAGCAGCAGCAGCAGCAGCAGCAGCAGCAGCAGCAGCAGCAGCAGCAGCAGCAGCAGCAGCAGCAGCAGCAGCAGCAGCAGCAGCAGCAGCAGCAGCAGCAGCAGCAGCAGCAGCAGCAGCAGGACAAGTCAGCTGCATCAACAGCCCTTGTAACCACACCCAGAAAACCTGTCCAACCTTCCAACCTAGACTCCTGGCAACCACAGCCACAAGAGCAGCAGCAACAGAAACAGCAGGAGCAGCATCAGGAGGAGCATTCGTTTGCGTCAACAGCCCTTGTAGCAGTCACAGCCACCAGAAAGCCCACCCAACCCTCCAATCTAGCCTCCCGCCTTGCCGCCCTTCTCAGCAACCTACAGTCACAATCCGAATCTCCCTTCGATATAGTCACAGGCAAGCACACTGCCACCTCTCAACCAGCTTCGGCACTAGAGGAGATGGCGGGAGCAGCAGTAATTGCAGCAGCAGGGGGGTTAGGGAGAGCAGCAGCAGAGGGGTTAGCAGGAGCAGCAGCAGGAAGGGGAAGGGTAGGGGAGGCAGGGCGATTTTCCCTGGCCCCAGGGTTTGAGAAGTATGGGGAGGCTTTTCCATTTTCAAAAGATTCTTCTTTTGTGGAGGCTGGGAGTTTCACTGCTTCTGCTGCTGCGGCGGCTGCGGCAGCTGCTGCAGCAGCTGGTTCTGGAAGCTTCCTGGAAGCATCGGAGCTGGCAGCGCTGCCGCCCCCCCGAGATCCGGCCAATAGGAAGCATTTACTGGATTCTGCTGACGTGTTGGATGTGACAAGAGCGGAAGGGAGCGTTCTTGTAACGAGGGGGGCCTCAGGAAAACACCTAGCTAGTACAGCTGAGGCAGTAGGGGTAGAGTTTGGGAGGGACGGAAGTGGAGAAGGAGGGAGCAGGGCAGGAAGCAGAGCAGCAGATGCAGAGTTGGGGGGACAAGGAAGCAGGAGATATTCTGCTGCTGCTCCATCCTCCCCTGCTCTATCCCATGCTGCTTCGTCTTATGCTGCCCCATCCCAAGCATCTCCCTCTTATGCTGCCCCATCCCAAGCATCGCCCTCTTATGCTGCTGCAACCCAAGTTCCCCTGCCACCTTCACCTTCATCCGCCCTTGCTGCTTCTCCTGACGCAGCACATAGAGGCACCACGGACTCTTGGGCTGATTTTTCTCGGGCAGATTTTTCCCGGACGATTATTTCTCGGGCGGATCTTTCTCGCGCAGATGCTTCCGAGCCACCTCTCTTCGGCTTCCCCCGGCAAATTTCCGAGACTGGGAGTGAGGCAGCAGCAGCAGGGAGGTTCAGGTCTCCAGAGGAGTTTATGAGGAGGCAACTCACAGCCATGGCTGAAGCTGTAGAGAGCAGGGACATGGTGAGTTGTGAGGGTGAGAGTTGGTGAGTTGAGATGGAGTGAGAATGATTGAAAGGGATGTTTCAGTCTCCAGAGGAGTTTATGAGGAGGCAACTCTCACAGCCATGGCTGAGGCAGTGGAAAACAGAGACATGGTGAGTAGAGTAGCAATGAGGCCACGTGGTGAGTTGATTATTCTTTACCTGGAAAACGTTCTATCCTGCCAGTGTCTGGGAGCGAGGCAGCGGGGGAAGGTTCTGATCTCCCGAGGAGTTTATGAGGAGGCAACTCACTGCTATGGCTGAAGCTGTGGAAAACAGAGACATGGTGAGTTGGTTGTGATCATATCCGCTAGCAGTGTGCCGTGGCTAGAGGTAGAGAGGCAGGCAGGGAGGAGTGACTGGGGAGGCAACTGACTGCCATGGCTGAGGCTGTGGAGAACAGAGACATGGTGAGTTGAGATGGGAGAGGCTATGAGTGGAAGGGAGACAGGCAGCGCCCTGGCTAGAGGCAGGCAGGCAGGCAGGCAGGCAGGCAGGCAGGCAGGCAGGCAGGGAGGGAGGGGTTTATGAGGAGACAGCTTACTGCCATGGCTGAAGCAGTGGAAAAAAGAGACATGGTGAGTTGAGATGGGGGGTCATGGCTGTTTATGCGGTTGCAAGGGGATGGGATACAAGCACTTCAACTCCCCTCCCCTCCCGCCCTTCCCCCCTCCCCCCCCTCTCAGGTGCAGGTCCAACAAGCTTATCTGCAACTCAAACCCCTCGCACGGCCCAAGGGGACAACGATGGAGATTCACTCCCCTCTATCCGCGCCCTCCCCTGTCTTTCGCCCTTCCCCTCCCCTCCAGGCGCAGGTGCAGCAGGCGTACTTGCAACTCAAACCCCTCGCACGGCCCAAGGGGACGGCCATGAAGCGATTGATTCACTACATGGTGGAGGGGTTGTTGACAGCAGCCCTCTCTCCCCATCAACCCCTTCCCCCCCCACGCCAGGCGCAAATACAGCAGGCATACTTGCAACTCAAACCTCTCGCACGGCCCAAGGGGACGGCCATGGAGAGACTGATTCACTACATGGTGGAGGGGTTGTTGACAGCAGCCCTCTCTCCCCATCAACCCCTTCTCCCCCCACGCCAGGCGCAAATACAGCAGGCGTACTTGCAACTCAAACCTCTCGCACGGCCCAAGGGGACGGCCATGGAGAGACTGATTCACTACATGGTGGAGGGGTTGTTTAAGCGGTTGCAAGGGACTGGTTATAAACACTTCAGCACTCCTGTTCGGAAAACACCAAAGGTGCGTGATTGTAGAAGGTGCGTGATTGTAGAAGGTGCGTGATTGTAGAAGGTGCGTGGTTGTAGAAGGTGCGTGATTGTAGAAGGCTGTGCTGACTAATATTGAGCGTGGTTCTAGAGATTGATTCACTACATGGTGGAGGGGTTGTTCAAGCGATTGCAAGGGACGGGTTATAAGCACTTCAGCACACCTGTCAGGAAAACTCCCAAGGTGTGTGACTGTATGGAGGTTCTACTTACCATGACTGAGTGTGATTGTAGTAGAGCAAGAGATTGCAAGTGGGAACGGTTACCAGCACTTCAGCACTCCTGTTCGGAAAACTCCCAAGGTGCGTGATCGTGGGCGGGTGTGTGTGTGCGTGATTGCATAACGGGTATGTTCTTCTCGTCTTACTCCCACTCTCTACCGCTCTCCACCCCTCCCTTTTCAGGAGCTAGACGAGGCGCGTGCCTGGTTCGCTACAAGCACGCCTTACCCCTCGTTTGGCAACATGGCAATAACGGGCATGTTTCTCCACGCCGTCTCCTCCGCCTCCCACGTGCACCTCATCGACTTGGGAGAGCTCCTGCCCTTCCACCTGCCCACCATCATTGAACTTTTAGCTGCCCGCCGGGGCGGCCCGCCGCACCTCCGCGTCACGGGGTTGGACACGACGACTTTTGTCTGCCCGGGACGGAAGGATTTTAAGAGTTTGAGGGCGGTGGCGGAGGTTGGGAGGAGGCTGAGGGGGATGGCGATGCGGCTGGGGGTGCCCTTTGAATTCGAATACGTGGATATAGACGAGAATCAGCTGCACCTTCTGTATCAGGTGGGTATCCCTTCAACTCTACGTACTAAGGAAGATGGCGATGCAGCTGGGAGTGCCTTTTGAATTCGAATACGTGGATATAGACGAGAATCAGCTGCACCTTCTGTATCAGGTGGGTATCCCTTCAACTCTACGTACTAAGGAAGATGGCGATGCGGCTGGGAGTGCCTTTTGAATTCGAATACGTGGATATAGACGAGAATCAGCTGCACCTTCTCTACCAGGTGGGTTGAATCATCCTGGTGTGCCTCTATCTCTACACACGAAAGGGGAATGGCGATGCGGCTGGGAGTGCCTTTTGAGTTTGAATATGTGGATATAGACGAGAATCAGCTGCACCTTCTGTATCAGGTGAGTGCGTCTGCTACCACTTGAGCCTGCGGGCGGTGGCGGAGGTTGGGAGGAGGCTGAGGGGGATGGCGATGCGGCTGGGAGTGCCTTTTGAGTTTGAATATGTGGATATAGACGAGAATCAGCTGCACCTTCTGTATCAGGTGGTTTGAATCATCCTGGTGTGCCTCCATCTCTACATACCACAGGGGAATGGCGATGCGGCTGGGAGTGCCTTTTGAGTTTGAATATGTGGATATAGACGAGAACCAGCTGCACCTGCTGTACCAGGTGGGTGGGGTGAATGAGCAGGGCGAGCCTCGGATTCTATGTACCAAGGGGGGGTGAGCCATTCGGCTGGGAGTGCCCTTCGAGTTTGAGTATGTGGATATAGACGAGAACCAGCTGCACCTGCTGTACCAGGTGGGTGTGTGGCGTGTGTTCTGGGAGGCTCAATACCCAACCGGCTGGGAGTGCCCTTCGAGTTCGAGTATGTGGATATAGACGAGACTCAGCTGCACCTCCTGTACCAGGTGGGTGGGTGTGCCTCTATCTTTACATACCAAAGGGGAATGGCGATGCGGCTGGGAGTGCCTTTTGAATTTGAAGATGTGGATATAGACGAGAACCAACTGCACCTGCTGTACCAGGTGGGTTGAATCATCCTGGTGTGCCTCTATCTCTACATACCAAAGGGGGATGGCGATGCGGCTAGGAGTGCCGTTTGAGTTCGAATACGTGGATATAGACGAGAACCAACTGCACCTTCTCTATCAGGTGGGTGAGTCTGTTCCCTATCCGGACCAGGGCGGAGGTGGGGGGAGGCTGAGGGGCATGGCTATGCGGCTGGGAGTGCCTTTTGAATTCGAGTACGTGGATATAGACGAGAACCAGCTGCACCTTCTGTACCAGGTGGGTGTGTGGGTTACCTCTGCTATATCCGGTGAGTGAGCGTGCCCGTCTCTGCTCTACCGAGCATGTGTGTCAGTTCCCTATTCGTGCTGGATCAAGGCGGAAGGATTAAAAGAGTCCGAGGTGGTGGCAGAGACTTTTGAGAAGGATGGGGTGACCTTCTGAGAAGGCGGACCTTCTGAGAAGGCGGACCTTCTGAGAAGGCGGACCTTCTGGGAAGGCGGACCTTCTGAGAAGGCGGACCTTCTGAGAAGGCGGACCTTCTGAGAAGGCGGACCTTCTGAGAAGGCGGACCTTCTGAGAAGGCGGACCTTCTGAGAAGGCGGACCTTCTGAGAAGGCGGACCTTCTGAGAAGGCGGACCTTCTGAGAAGGCGGACCTTCTGAGAAGGCGGACCTTCTGAGAAGGCGGACCTTCTGAGAAGGCGGACCTTCTGAGAAGGCGGACCTTCTGAGAAGGCGGACCTTCTGAGAAGGCGGACCTTCTGAGAAGGCGGACCTTCTGAGAAGGCGGACCTTCTGAGAAGGCGGACCTTCTGAGAAGGCGGACCTTGTGTCGACTGAGAAGGATGTGGCGGGCGGACCCACCCGGGTCGGGCGGTCCTTCTGCCTACTCAAGAGCCTGCGGGCGGTGGCGGAGGTGGGGAGGAGGCTGAGTGTGTGGGTTACCTCTGCTATACATCCAGTGAGTGAGCAGTGTGCCCGTCTCTGCTCTACCGAGCACGTGTGTCAGTTCCCTATTCGAGTTGGATCAAGGAGGGAAGGTTTATAAGAGCCTAAGGGTGGTGGCAGAGGTGGGGAGGAGGCTGAGGGGAATGGCCATGCAACTGGGAATGCCTTTTCTTCATCCTCTTCCCCTCTCCCTTCTCTCCCTCTCTCCTCTCTCACAATTTTTTCCTCTATTACCCATATATTCCTCATGTCTCTCTCCTCAGGTCAATGGAGTGAAACGCTCGTGGTGTGCGCACATCTCGAGCTCTAGACCTCCCCTCTCCCCTTGCTCCATCCCGTCACTCTCTCCTCTGTCTCTCCCTCTCTTCCCTCTCCCCATTCCCCTCCAGGTCAAGAGGAGGTGGAGCGAAACACTCGTTGTATGCGCACATCTCGAGTTTCTGAACTTTCCAGATGATTCAGTTATGGACCGCGGCCCCAGAGACTGCATTCTCAGGGTGAGTAGCCTACTTCAGTCAACACACGTAGGGTGATAAGTCCTGGAAAATATAATGAAAGAGGAGTGTGAAAGAGGCAGTGTGTCATGGGTCACAGTCCCAGGGATTGTATTTACAGGGTATGTAACCCTTTTTGAACTGCTTGAAAAAGGTGAAAACCTTTTTGTGAATGGTGGCCCTAGAGACTGCATCTTCAGGGTAACTCACCCTTAGATTGTTGACCTACCAAGGAAATAATTTCATGCCAATGTCCTTTTTTCCCCCCTCTAATCCCATCCACTTTTTCCATCTTTACACCGATACACTCAGAGGATTTATGACTTAAAGCCACGCTCTTCACCTTTGTTGAGAAGGACATTGATTCCAACAACATAAACCTTTCCCACCTCTTTCCTCCCCCGTACAGTGGATCCACGACTTAAAGCCCGCGCTCTTCACCTTTGTTGAGATGGACCTTGATTCCAACGCCCGCCCCTTCCTCTCCCGATTCCAACACGCCATCGATTACCATTTCTCCGTCTTTGCCTCTCACGACGCTCTAATCGGCGCCGCCGACAAACGCCTGCTTTCCATTTTCGAGGAGCTTTATTTCGGCCGAGCGATTGTGAATATTGTATCGTGTGAAGGTGTAGAGAGGGTGCACCGACCCGAAACGCTCGACCAATGGCGAGGAAGGATGCTCAGGCTCGGGTTCGTACCGAAGCAGATCCCCGGAGCGGTTACCGAGGCTATGCATAGTATGCTGAAGAGGTTTCCTCTTGGATTTGGGTTATTGCTAGAGGATGGGGCTATCAGACTGGCATGGAGGGGAAACACCTGTCTTCTCGCCCTTGGTTGGGTGCTAAATTCGCAACCTTAAAATAATTATATTATTCTCTCCTTATATGGCATTGGCATGCCCCAAGTTATGCTATTATTGAAAGGCTATTTTATTGTGAAATGGGGAGAGAGCCCAAAACGTAAGGGCATAACAATTATGTAAGCGTTGTCCAACCAATATGCCAACTGTACTCCCACAAGAGCTCGCTAGGGGAGGGAGAGATGATTCGCTTTTGAGTTTGCCTGCGTCCGCTTTTTAGCGTTGCCGCCTTACTCAACAGCTTGAAATATTAAACGAGCCGCGTTTCAATTCGAAACGCCTTATATTACAACCCAGAATTAGGTCAGGTTTCAGTTTCCGCTCATACGAAGCAGTTCCAAGCCGCAGGGTAGGCTAGTCTTACTCTCTCAAACCAACTCGCGACTTGGCAGGTATTAGTGATAGATAGAGCTGCATCTTTGCCGTTAGGGATAACCACCTTCTTATTCCGCCCGTCGAAACCCAGGTCGTTATTGGTTATTCCGTTCGCATGTTTCTTACTTCGCGCCTCGGAGCCCAAGTGTTTCTTGGTTGCTCCGTTTCGTTCCGTACTCGCCGAGAGATTACCTTTTTTTCTGGCTTGTATACGCGCTGCTGTTAGTCCGTCAATTACAGTGTACTTCGCTAGTTGCACGCCGCGCGTTAGCAATCCGATTAAACGCGCGCCGCGGCTAGAGGTTTGATCAAAAGCGCGCGGCGCGGAAAGGTATGGAGCTGGAGGAGGCGGCGCGGGAGCGGAAAGAGCGGCTGCGAGCGTTAAGGGAGGCGGCGTCGATCGTCACAACAGACGGCGAGAAAACGGCTAGCCTGCTAGCAGACGGCGACGATGGAAAGTACGACTATTTCTTGGAAGAGTGGGGGAGGGGGGAGAGGGAAAAAGGGATGAAGGGGGGGAGCTGAGAGAGGGGTGAGGGGGGAACGGGGGAGGGGCGGGGAGGGGGAGGGTGGGGAGCGGTGAAGGGGGGGAGCTGAGAGGGGGGGGAAAGGGGGGGGGGGTGGGCAGGGAAAGGGAGGGGGAGCTGAGAGGGGGGGAAGGAGGGAGGGTGGGCAGGGAAAGGGAGGGGGAGCCGAGAGGGGGGGGAGGGGGGAGGGTGGGGACCTCTGTGTGTCTCTCTCGCTCTCTCTCTCTCTCTCTCTCTCTCTCTCTCTCTCTCTCTCTCTCTCTCTCTCTCGAATGGTCCTTCGTATTAATCAGCAAGGCAGAACACACAGAGGTACTAAGCGTAAGCTAATCTAAACAAACAAACAAGACTCAACAAGCAACAAACAGGTAAGTACTACAACTTCTCCATCGCCTGCCCCTTCTCCCCACGACCCTATTGGCCGGTAGGGTCTTCCAGCAGTTGGTACAGCTGCTCCTCCCCTAGGCAGCCAAACGGTCCCTGCAGGCCGAGCTCGTCCGCGGCGAAGGCCTCGTGGGTCTTGTCGCGGAGGGCATTGGCCTGGGCGCGCTGGAGTGTGACGCTCCAGCGCTGCCGGTATTCCGTGAGCAGCCTGGCCACCTCCCTCGATTTTGGCGCTGCGTTGAACCGCCGCTTGCCCGCGAGCTCGGCACAGCTGCGGAGGAAGTCGTGTACTCCCGGGGAGGGGTAGCCGTATGTCTCGACCGCCATGGCGTGGAAGCCTACCCACGCGTTCCGTCGAGCATACTTATCCTCCTTCTTCGTGGCTTGCATCCTAGCCCCCCACCCCGGTGCCTTACGTGCGTATTCGTCCTGGTGAGAGACAGGGTCCGTCACGGTGATGTCGCACATGTGGACCTCGCCGGTGTCGGGATGGCGGATGCAAACATCCGCTTTCAGGTTTTCGACCGGTGAGTAAATTGTGGATTCCTTGTGCACCGTGTAGCCCGCCTCCGCCGCAATCCTTGCGCACTCATCACGAAGAGCATGGTGAGTGGCAATTCTCCCGCCGCCTTTCTCGCAACGCATTAGGTGGTTGGGGAGGCGGTGGTCCGGGAAGGTTGTGCGGTGACGGCAGTCGCAACGACGAGGGACAGGTAGGGGGAGGCCTAGCCGGAAGGAGGATGCGGTGGCGTGCTGCGGGGGGCCGAGGCGAAGAGCTGGGGTCAGGGGGATGGCCAGCAGCCAATCTCCTGCCCCGGGGCCGAGGAGTGATTGCAGGCGTTGGGTGTGGCCGAAGAGCGGGTTCAGAGGCATCTCCCGCGAGGCATCGAGCACCTCGATGTAGCGAGCGGTGTGAACGGCCAGCGACAAGGCCTGCTGTAGCTTCAGGCCATCAATACCGCGCCGGCCGGCCTGTAGAGCCTCCAGCCCATCCGGGGGCAGCGTGGCCTCTGCCGCTGCAAGGCGCCGAGGCAGGACCGAGGGTGAGTCGGCGTTTGCATCCAGTAGCGGCAGCAGCTGGTCTATTGCGGGGTGCAAAATGTCACCGAACGAGCGCAGCAGGTGGGCGGAGGAGATGACCGAGGCTAGGTAAGCGAACACCCCTTCCGTTGCTGGATTGGTGATGCCGAGGCCGCCCAGTGTCACGGGTAACGCGGCCTGCCGCCAGATTCTCCCCCGCTCCGCCTCATCCCGCGGTATCGCCGTGTGCGCCGCGGTCAGGTACGTGTGCAGCAGCTGCTCCCCCCACGCCGACCAAGTGTCTGCTGGCAGCACCTCCAGGGGCGTTGTCCTAACCAGGTACGAGGCGCGGCGGCTCACGCAGCGTGTCAGGAGGAGCAGGCTCAGCTGCGGATCCATTTGTGAGAGGAGCGGAAGTGGCTCTGCTGCTGCCGACAGGCGCTCCTGCACCAAGGCCGCGCATCCTGCCTGCGGCCCGATTGGGCTCCCCAAGACGCGGATCCCATCCGCCGAGAAAGGTACGTGCGCAGGGAGGGAGGCGGGGTAAGTGTGCGCGGCTGACCACGCCGCGCACTTCTCGGGGTTGTGTTCCAGGCCGAGGGATAGCAGGGCGGTGGTGAGGTGAGTGAAAGCCTCCGTGCACGCCTCAGCTTCCCCCAGGAGAGTAATGTCGTCAGCGTACGCGAGAAAGACGACTCCCGGATGTGCTTCCGCCGCAGCTACCAGGCAAGGGTGTATGCTAGCGGCGAAGAGAAGCGGGCCCAGCGGGTCCCCTTGACGTACGGCCGTGCGCGGACTGCAGGGGGGGAGCGTGAAACTCGTGGTCGAGGTGCAGCGCCGAGGGGACGCCGTAGGTAAGCCGGACCAGGGGCACTAAGAATTCCAGGCTGGTCCCTTTCAGCAAGGTGGAAAATTGCGCTAAGCGAAAATTTCGAACCGAATTTTTCGATCGAAAATTACGGCCGTTTTTGTAAAATTTCGGCGAAATTTTAATAGACATATTAAAAAAAAAAAAACTGCCTAAATTTCTCTGGCTACGAAACGCCAGATCCGCCTTAGATTTAATGGCGAAATGCCAGATCCACCCTAGATCTAATGGCGAAATGCCAGATCCGCCCTAGATCTAATGGCGAAATGCCAGATCCACCCTAGATCTAATGGCGAAATGCCAGATCCGCCCTAGATCTAATGGCGAAATGCCAGATCCGCCCTAGATCTAATGGCGAAATGCCAGATCCGCCTAGATCTGGCGGCGAAATGCCATTACAATGTCCACCCATGAATTTTATCAATTTACACACGAATTTCTCTTTTTTTTTTCCTGAAAATTTCGGCGAGATTTTCCACCATTTTGTTTTTTGGGAGGGGGACCGAAATTATCGAAAAATTCGGTCGAAAATTTCGATGGCGAAATTTTCGCCCAAAAAATGAAAAATTCGGCGAAATTTTGCACCCTGCCTTTCAGGCCATCGAACACCGTCGCTCGCTCGACCGCGTTAAAGGCGTTCGCTAGGTCAATCTGCAGCGCCACAGCCCCTGTATTCTCCTCCAGGTACGTTCTGGCGGTATGCACTGCTGCTTCAATGCCGCCAGCTATCGCCACGCCGAATTGGAGCGGAGCGAAGTGTTCACGTGCCTTCTCGGCCGCCAGGAATAATGCCGCTTTGGCGACAAGCCGTAGCAGGCACTCGCCCACCGCAATCGGCCGTGTACCCCCATGTGGCTTGGCGAATGCGAGCAGCCGTGATGCTGTGAGAAGTTCTGCCGCTTCAGAGCTAAGTTTACCGGCCAGCGCAGTGTTCGTAAGTGCGTGCAACTGTAGGAAAATGTCTGTGTTTCCTAAGGCAGCGTCCCTCAGGTGTTCAAAGGTGGTGCCTGAGGGGCCAGCATCCACTCCATTCTGGCACTTGGCGAGGATGCGCCTGAAGTCGCGTGGATGGATTGTAGGGGTTGAGTCAGTGGTGAACTCCGGTACCCAGTCAGGGACGGCTTGGCGCGCATGAGGGTGTCTAGCTGAGAGGGCTTGGAGCACGTCCGTGGATGGGGGGGAGACTGGCGTGGCTGTTAGGGATTGGAGCGATTTCGCCAGGTTTCCTCGTTTGGCCAAACCCTCAGCCCTTGCCAGGATGCCTGTGGTGTCCGGCGCGTGGCGGGGCTGTGGGGGTTGGGATACTGCGTCAGCCGCCTCGTCATACAGGTTCCGCCAGAGGCCCTGGCGGAACTGAATTAACCTGGCGCCAACCTTCGACCAATCTGGGCGTTTGGCTGACGAAGTGCGCAATAGGATGCGCGGGAGGAACATTAACAGCCTCCACCCCGCAGGTGAGTCAGGGTCTTTGGCGAGGTGTAACAGTGGGGTGAGGAGGCAGGCAGCGAAAGAGTCGCGAAGTGTGCGAGGTGGGTGACGGGCGAGTGGAGGTTGCCTGCTTTCGCGAAGGGGGTTGAGGTCCCATGTTGCGACGTCGGCGAAAAGGTCCTGGCGTTTTGCCAGGTCGCCAGCACTGAACATTGGCTGGCGGGTGGGTAAGTCTGCGCCCTGCTGATTGGTTCGGGAAGGGGTGCCATCTGCAATTTGTGCGGCTCGGTTCCCCCCCCCGACTCGTATCTGTCTTCCAATTCGAACTGCAGATGCGCCTCGGCTATGTGTTGGGTTTTGAGCCAACTCCTCGTGCTGCTCTGCCTCTTCCACCTGAGGAGAGGGACTAGAACTCCCCTCTCTTTCAGGGTTAAAAAGTGGGTCACCCACAGAATTTTCATCACTCGATTCTTCTCCATCTCCAGCTCTCTCCCGCAGGATCCGGTGAGCGGCCCTCGCGAAGCTACTAGCCCCGCGTCGTTGAACTGAGACGCCTCCTCTGCGTCCGCCTCGTCTCCCACCTCTAGCCACGCGGATACCTCGCGGCGTCGTGCCTGCCTCTGCGTCGCGGCGTGCTGGCTGAGGCGCGGAGGTAGAACCACGGCCTCGTCTTTGGCGGCCTGCTGGCGTCCGTGGCTCCGTGCTCCGGCGTAATGAACCCAACCGCGGGTCGCGACTGCGCGCAGGAGAGTACTGCAGAGAGCGCACGGCTCGATCCGCCCCGTGCGCAGGGGCCTGCTGCTCCTCGTCCTCTTGCTGCAGCGCGCCCCTCCGCGTCTGAGCCTGTCCCCTGCCTGGAGCGCGGGCTGTCTCTTCCTCTGCGACATGTTCGGCAGCCTCATACGCCGGAGTACTCGTGGGTCCCCGCTCAGATTGCCTCAAACCGGTCTGCTGCTCAGCCGCGTCAGGAGCGCGGGCGTTCGCCGCCCCGGCAGCAGCCGCGGCAGCAATCTCCTCGCCGCCGGTCCCCAGAGCGTTGCGAAGATCAGCGGGACGGCGTTGACGATCAGCTGTCCCCTGCCGGCCATCGCTCTCCTCGCCGCCCATCTCCTCGTGGTCGGGCAGGCCAGCGCTCACCCCGAGCGCGATCCCCCGAGCCACGTTCTCCGCGGGGACCTCCGGCGACGCGGGGGAGGGGGTCGCCTGGGCGTCGCTGGGAATCGGGTCGCCGCGAGCAGACCCCCCCGCGTCCGCGCTCGGCAGGTTCCGCGGGCCGGCGGGGCCGGCGCAATGGCGGAGGGCGTGGCGGTAGTGGTCGCCAGCAGGATCCTGCCCTCGATCGCGCCGCGAACACGTTTGTGGAGGTGGTGCGGCAGGCCCAGGCAAGCGGGGGGCCGACTCACGTCCACATTGAGGTGACCAACGGTCCCCCCATCGCAGCGGACCCTGGCCAGGTTGCTCCCCTGCGTGCGCCGACCCTGCGTGATTATCTGCCAGCGCGTGAGCAGAGGGCTCAGTTCCGCACCCCTCGTCAGCCCCCTGGCTTCTCCGCGCCGCGATTATCCGTTGGCCGGACTCCTGGCTGGCCGACGGTGTTTCCGCGCGAAGCACAGACTGCACTTCCCCCCATTCGCGCGGGCACAGATCCCATGCTGACCCCGTGCCGGATTCTGAATCTGGCGGAGGCGTGTGAGGTGTTGGCGAACTTGCAGCTGGCGGTGTGTGCGGCCACGCGGAATTTTCCGAGCAGTTTCGGTCCAGGAACCCGAGGATCCTGCGTGACTTTGGCAGAATCGCTCGAGTCGCCGTTGGCACCCGTGTCGGATGTGCCCGCCGGGGTAGCTCCCTTAGCCCGTACTTTCCCCCGCCACGTGGGGGATCTTGTGGGGGCTGCTCAAGGCGGGACTCCCTTGGACACGCTCCAGTCAACGGCGCATCTCCTTCTTGCGGTATCGGCGTGCATGCGCTCGATGCTTGAAGTGGCGGGGGCCGAGCCGTACACGATGTAGGCTTTCGCCTAGCGTAGAACTGCATGCCGTCTTCCTTTGTGTTGAGCGCTGTGTGTTGTTTGTTTCTTTTCCAGAGTTGTTGCTTGCCACCCGAGAGCACGCGGCCGAGAAAAACTGGCACCAAACGAACTAATGGCAGAGAAATGACCCCAAGGGCCCTATATATAGCTAGAGGGCAGAGGCAGAGGCTAGAGGCAGAGGCTAAGTCCTCTCTCTCTCTCTCTCTCGCTCTCTCCACGCCCAAGAAAAACTGGCACCAAACGAACTAATGGCAGAGAAATGACCCCAAGGGCCCTATATATAGCTAGAGGGCAGAGGCAGAGGCTAGAGGCAGAGGCTAAGTCCTCTCTCTCTCTCTCTCTCTCTCTCTCTCTCTCTCTCTCTCTCTCTCTCTCTCTCTCTCTCTCTCTCTCTCTCTCTCTCTCTCTCTCTCTCTCTCTCTCTCTCTCTCTCTCAAGCGGTCCGTGTATTAGATCCGAGCAAGTACAGACATGCACCAAGGATATAGGGTCTAGAAGCAACAAGGGGCCTTTAACACTCCTATATCCTACTCACACCCTTGCCCCCTCTAAGGGAGCTCCAGAACCGGCTCCAGGATGGCCAGGCAGTCCCCAAGGGACATGCCATCGCCCGGCAACTCCACAGGTGGGTTCTCCACCTGAGCTGCGAAGTTACACTTCGTCATGAAGGCCACGGACTGAGCCCGCTGCAACGCCACGGACCACCGCTGGCGGAACTGGTGTAGCAGCTTCGTTGCCTGGTAAGATGATGGGGCCGCATTGAAGTGCCTGCGGGCGGCAGTGTCGGCTAGCAGTTTGAGAAATTGGGGGACTTCCGCACAAGGGCAGCCGTAAGTGTCGACGGCCAGTGGGAAGAACCCGACCCACGAGGCCGTTGAGCCCTCGTAATCGGAGATCTTCTTCTCTGCCGCCTCACGGGCTGCCCACCCCCTGCCCTTGACCGCGTTGGGGTCACGTGTGCTAATGGGGTCCGTGATGGTAACGTCCCCAATCCACACGGCCCCTGAGGTCTTGTCTCTGATTGCTATGTCGGCCTTCTTTCTCGTGACGGGACAGAACGCCGTCGTCTCGCTGTGAGTCATGAAATCCGCGTCGCTGGCCATCCGTAAGCATTCGTCGCGCAGCTCGTTGTGAGTGTTTGTCCTCCCCTTCCCCGTGTCACAGCGCAGGAGATGGTTGGGCAGCCGCCTATCTGGGATTAACGTTTCGTTGCGGCAGTCACAGGCACCAGGGGCCGAAGAGGGAAGCCCCATCCGAAACTCCAGCGCGTGAGCAAAATGGGCCGGGGCAAGGCGCAGCGAACTGTTGAAGGGTACCGCGTTGAGCCAGTCTCCCGCCCCGTACCCCGAGAGCGAGAGCATGCGCTGCGTGTGCCCGCTAAGTGGGTTCAGCGGCATGATGCGTGTGGCCTGCACCTGCTCGGCGTAGCGCTGGCCATGCACCGCGATAGCCAGCCCCTGCTGCAACTTGACACCCTTGGGATCCGCCCGGTCGCTCTGCAGCAGCTCCTTTCCCTCGTCCGGCAGCGACTCCTCGCACCGCTCCAGCCAATCAAATAGGGGGTCGTGTTGATAAAGGGCCCCGTCATCCGCATCCGTACTTCCGCCAGCGCGCCTATTGCTGCCTCGTCAATAGAGGTGAGTAGGTGCTGGGCTTGGGTGTAGCTTGCAAGGAAACCCACGCGTCCTTCCACCGAGGGGTCCGTTATCCCCAAGCCTCCAAGCGAGATCGGGAGCGAGGCTTGCGCCCAGGTACGTGAAATCTCATCCTCCCCCCGGGGGTGGCGGATGCCACAAGCCGTCAGCAACGTCTCGAAGAGGCGCTTGCCCCAGTCGGACCATTCCTCAACAGGTAAGGCAGAGAGGGGTGTGGTGCGGGCAACATAAGAGACCCGTCGTGAGATGCACCGCGTGAGCAGAAGTGAAGCCAACTGTGGCTCCATCCGCTCGATTAAGGGGAGGGGCCCGCCCATGTTGTCAAGGCTATCGCGCAGGAATGCCGCCGTTGCTTCGGTACCACCAATGAAACTACCGAGCACCTTCACTCCATCATCCACGAAAGGTACGCCCTCTGGAAGCACCGCTCCTCGCCGACCTGTCTGTGACCACGCCGCGCATTTGTCTGGATTGTGGCGCAGCCCAATCTCCCCAAGGTTCCCCGTGAAATCGTCAAACGCCGCTGCACACGAGGCTGGCTCTCCAAGAAAGGTGACGTCGTCCGCGTAGGCAAGGCACACCACGGACGGGAAGGTAAGAGCCGTCTTCGCCAGAGCAGGGTGAATGGCAGCAGCAAAAAGCAGTGGACCGAGGGGGTCTCCCTGCCGCACTCTGGTCTCGCTCAGAAGGGGTGGGTGTGAGAAGCCGGCGTCTAGGCAGAGGGCCGAGGGAAGGCCGTACAACAGTTTTACCAGCGGCAAAAGGGAAGTGAGAGGGGATCCGCGGAGCGACGTGACGATGGCTGCCCTATTCACGCCGTTGAACGCGTTCGCCAGATCCGCTTGGAGGACCAAGGCCCCCGTGTGCATTGTAAGATAGGTGCGTGTGATGTGGATAATTGCTTCTGCCCCCCCAGGAACCGCCACGCCAAACTGGTGCGGAAGGAAGAATTCTCTAGCGGCTCCTGCGGTCAAGGTAAGCGCTGTTTTTGCAGCTAGGCGTGTGATGCTTTCGCCAATAGCAATTGGCCGCGTTCCTCCATCGGGCTTGGTGAGGGCAATCAGCCGCGAGGCAGTGAGAAGCTCGGTGGTAGCTTTCCTGTGAGTATCGTGTTGACGAGTGCGTGCAGGTGTTTCCCGACGGAGTGGTTGATCAGCGCCGCATCACGTAAGTGTTCGAATGTTGTTCCAGAGGGGCCCGCTCCCACTCCCATCTCACAGCTTCCCAGCACCTTGGAAAACACTGCGAAGGGTGCAGATAGGCCTGGGTCAGGTGCAGGGAAGGTCCAGTCCGGTACGGAGGTAGGTGCCGGTGGATGCTTGGCGCGCAAGGCCTCCAGCACACTTGGGGAAGGAGTGCTGACTGGCGTGGCTTCTAGCGCCAGCACGGCACGCCGTAAGCTGCCACGTCGCGCGAGACCTTCCGCCCTTGCGATGACGCCAATGTCATCGGGCTGGTGTCTGGGTGGCTGGGGCCACGAAAGGGATGCCACTGTTTCAGTGTACAGTTTGTCCCATTCTCCAGACAGAAACTGGCGAAGGCGGGTCTCAACAGCCTTCCAGTCTGGCCGACGTGGTGACATCTGGCGGAGAGTCAAACGTGCGACGAACAGCAACAACGTCCAAGCAGAATCCGAATCTGGGTTTTCAGCCAATCGCAGGAGAGGTACAAGCAGTGCTGTGGCGAAGAGTTTGCGTGGGTCTGATGGGAGGTGGCGGGAGAGAGGGGCGTGGCGAGAGTCGCGCAATTTCGCTAAATCCCAAGTGGTCACGCTGGCGAAAAGGGCGTCATCCTTGGCAAGAGATTCTGGGGATCTTTCCTCAGGGGGTTGGGGTTGAGTGTGGTTTCCACCAGTGGCAAAGTGTGGGGCGGTTTGTGATGGGGTTGGAAAGTTGGAAATTGAGGTTGGTGGTGGTGGTGTAGCAATAATGCCCGTCGCGGCGCGGGTTGGTGTTGGAGGCCCCCTCCGCCCTATGGACCGCGGAGCCGTGCCACCTCCCCCAGTATGGGATGGTGTGGCTCTTCCTGCTCTAACTGGAGTCTGGTGGTGTGTCTCATCCACGGAATCAGAACTCGAAGTTGAATCCGTCGATTCAGCAGGTACAAAGCTGCTGTCCGAAGTACTGCTTTCAGTATCCCCATTCATTAAAGCCCGTCTTCCCGCCTGCTGGTAGGCGTTCTTTGGCCCGCCTCCGCGCGCTCGCCTTCCGCTGCCCGCTGTTCTTCCCCCGCGTCCAGCAGGAATCGCCCCCGTTCGCTCCCCATCCGTGTTTGGCGCGGATTCCTCCCCTCGCCTTGATGGAGACGACTGCTGCCCCCGGCCGCGACTGTACCGCGGAGAGCGAGCCTGCTCCCCGCCCGCATCCTCCTGCGCGACCTGCCGCGAGCGTCCCTGTCGCTCCGATGGGGGTGGATGAACAGATCCGCCGCCGATTCAAGGAGCAGCGGCGCGATCTGCAGCGGACCCAGTTGCGCAAAGATCAGGCGCCCGCGGAACCCGTCGTACGCTCCGGCGCGGAGGCAGTGGCGCACCGGGGGCGGTCGCCTCGGCGCCGCTCGTCGGTGACGCGCGAGGAGGGGCGGGTGAACCGCCGCGGTGATCGCCGCGAGAGATCTCCGTCGCCCGTTCCGCCGCGTTCGCCGCGTTCGCCTCGTTCCCCCCGTTCGCCTCGGCCCGCGGTATCGCGGAGCCGGTCCCGAGATCGTTGGACGCGCCGCCACCCGTCCCCTGCTCGCCGTTCGACGCGGCAGCGATCACCTCATCGTCCCGCCTCTCGTCACCGATCCCCCGCTGCGCATTCGTCGCGGCCGTCAAAACGCGGGGGCCGATCCCCTGGGCGACAGCGCCAACGCGTGCAATCTCGCCCGCAATCTCCCGCGCGGTCGAATGTGAGTGGGCGCCATGGGCGCCGTGGAGGCTATGGCCGTGGCGGGGCGGCGCCGCGGGCGCCGTCCGCGATGGAGCGCGTGCTCCAGAGGCTGGACGGCATGGAAGAAGCCATTCATCGTACGAGGGCGGAATCGTCGTCTCGTCCCGCGCGTCCACCTGCTCCCGTTGTTCCACTCGCTGCCCTCCTGCCGCATGATCCCGAGGGCTCCCTCGTGCGTCCTGGTCGACCGTTGCCTGCTGGGGCCGGCTTCGTGGGTGCGGGGGGTGGTGATCCGTGGGCCCCGTTTGTTCCGCCGCGCCCTGCTCCACCTCCACGCGATTATGCAGTGTCGTCTCGTCGAGCTCGAGCTTCTTCGGGGCTGCCGGCGATGAAGGAAGTGCCCACGGCGACCCTGGCGCACTTATGGTTGCTTGCGGAGTGCCTGCAGGGTCTTGAGGTGGTCCTAGTGGAGTCCCATGGCTCCATGTCGGTGACCCCACCGAGCATGTTCTCTCAGATGCCGCGAGCAAGGTGTCACGCGGCGGCGTCAGCAATATTCTCGTATGTATCGCCACTGCAGGCTGCGCCCTTGCCGGGAGTAGTCTCGGCCACCCAGCTGGCTGAGAAGGCCCTGGATCTGAAGACGCTTGTAGGAGATCGTGGAACTCCTGTTGACGTTGTCGGCGCCACCGCGTCAGTGGTCCGCTTGATGTGGCTGACCACGCGCGAAATGCTAGGTGAGCTTGAGGCGGACCGCATGTAGGCGCAGCCCTCGTGCGCGTGTAGACCCGCTCCATGTGATTGTGCCTAGATGTACTTGCTCGCCATTGTTGTTGTCAATGTCTTGCTAGTTGGCCTCGGTTGTGGTGTTCTTGTCACCTCTCACGCGCGGCCGAAGGCCGGGCACGCGAGCGCTGGCGCTTCGCGCCGGCGCGAGCGCCGGAAAAATTGCTTTGAAGAACCAAGCGAATAATGAGTTAGATCAGAGGCCGAGAGGCCATTATATAGGGGTGGGAAGGATGAAGAGGCTAAGTGCTAGAGGCTGGGTAAGATGCTCTCTCTCTCTCTCTTACTCTCTCCCAACCACCCCACCCCCAAACCACCCCTCTCCCTCGCCCTCTCTCTGCTTGTATCACTTTCATTCGCAAATATGTCATGGCTTTGCTTGTCTCGCACCCACTTTCCCAGTCACTGCCCAAACCCAAAGCTCTGTGTGTGTGTGTCTCTCTCTCTCTCTCCCTTCACAACCACCCCACCCTCCGCCCCACCAACTCCCTCCCCCCCCCCCCAAACCAACCCCCTCCCTCCTCTACTTGTATTACTTTCATTCGCAAACCTGTCATGACTTTCCTGGTCAATGCCCAAACTCGTAGCTGTGTGTGTGTGTGTGCGTGCGTGTGTGCGTGCGTGCGTGCGTGCGTGCGTGCGTGCGTGCGTGCGTGCGTGCGTGCGTGCGTGCGTGCGTGCGTGCGTGCGTGTGTGTCTCGATCTCTCTCTCCACCCCTATCCAACCCTCTGGTTGCTCTGCAGGGAGAACGAGCCTGCAGCGGAGGTTCGGTTCCGAAGCTACTTGCCTCGGGACGACCAGCTGATGGAGAGGAAGCTTCCTCCGGCGCAGCTCCCCAAGTTCCAGGAACCCACCCCCGCCCAGCCACTTCTCTTAGACCCGAATGAGGTAAGTTGGAGTCATGTATAGGGAACTTCAAGTGAAAACCCATTGCCAGGTTTGGGGGATTGGAAGCGGCAGGGTGTTGGGAAGGGGAATGGGGGAATTGGGGGGAAGAAGGGGGAGGGGGGGGGGGGGGGGGGAAGGGGGGGGGGGGGGGGGGGAGGGGAAGAAGGTGGGGGGGGGGGGGGGGTTGTGTTTGGAGGTTGAAGGCAATGAGGCGCATTTGCCAGTCGCCCACAAGTTCCAGGAACCTACCCTTGCTCACCGGCCGGCTTTCTGGCCGGCTTTTCTTGGATTTTTATGAGGCAGAGCAACGAGGTAAACTGGACTTGTGTTGAACGTTTGTGACTTTGTGGAAACTGCCATTTGGAAACCACCTGGAACTTACTACGACTCCACAGCCGTTGGTGGAAACTTGCTTGCTCCCCGCAAGCCCAACTGGGCCTTCCATTAAGGCATGGCAGGGCGATAAAGCCACATAGTTTGGATCATCCTGCACATCTTTCTCTCTCTCTCCTGCATCTTACTCCCTCCCACCGATCAGGACCCAGTAACAGCCATTGCTCCCCGCAAGCCCAACAGGGCCTTTTATCAAGGCATTGCAGGGCGATAAAGCTGCATAGTTTGGTGCATTCCTCATCCTGCACATGTTTCTCTCTCACTCCTGCATCTTGCTCCCTCCCTCCCATCAGGATCCAGTGACGGCCATTGCTCCCCGCAAGCCCAACTGGGACCTGAGGAGGGACGTGGCGAAGCGGCTAGCCAAGCTGGAGAGGCGGACGCAGCGAGCAATGATTGAACTCATGAGTACGTGCTGCTGTTTTCTTTGTTACTCCTTGCAACTCCTCGCCACTCCTTGTTACCATTGAGGCCTCTGGTGGTGAGATGGGGTAAAGAGGCTAGCTAAGCGGAGAGGCGGACGCAACCAGCAATGATTGAACTCGTGAGTACGTGCTTCTCATGCACCTCCTTGCCACTCCTTTTCACTCCTTACCACTCCTTGTTACCTCTTGTTACCTCATAACGAGCCGTGATCAAATGCATGAGTACGTGCTGCTCATGCACCTCTGTTGGATCTTGTTTTGTTGTTAAATTGTTGGGAGTTGTCAACTTGCTTTGCTCCCCTGTTCCGTGCTGCTCGTGCACCTCCTTGCCACTCGTCTCTCCTTGTCACTCCTTGTTACCTCATAACGAGCCATGATCAGATTCATGAATACGTGCTGCTCATGCACCTCTGCTGGATCTTCTTGCGTTGACAAATTGTTGGATATTGTCCATTTGCTTTGCTCCCCTGCTCCCTGCTGCTTGTACTTCCCTCTGTTCTCCTACGCGTGCTTCTGGTCCGCTCCTTGACCTTGTTTGACTTTTGAGTCGACTCAAAAGTCAGCTCGTGTGCTTCTGGTCCGGTACCTGACCTTGTTTGTTCTTTGTTGCTACCCTTTCTTCACTTTGGGTTTCCCTTCTTTTGTCGCCTTATTATGTCGCCTTATCTTTGTCGCCTTATTATGTCGCTTTATTTTTGTCGCCTTATTTTGTTGCCTTATTTTTGTTGCCTTATTTCTGTCGCCTTGTTTTGTCGTCCTCCTTTGGCTGCATTTACAACAGGGGAAGAGGAGGAGAGGCGGCAGCAGCAAGAGTCGGGCATAGAAGGGTCTTGAATCTTGATTAATCAAAGACGGAAATTCAGCTGAAGTATAAAATACAGTTAATACAGCACACAAGAAGACTGTAACATACAGTACACTATACCATTGGCACACAAGGGTACACAAGCGCTAGATTTGCTACACTGCCATGCATCACACAGAGCACCTCGGTATTGTACATGCCATTGTCCCACATTCCTCCACAACTGATATAATATTCAGCCTTCTCTGCACTGTTGATATGGATATAAGGCTGTTGGGGGGCTAATGTACCAATATTCCAACAAAGGCACTAGCAAGGCACTAGGCACTGGAAGTTGCACCTCATGGGACACCACGGTGCTTATTCCCATTCTCCCTCCAGTCACTCAGCGCTCAAGTTGCTGCTGCCACTTGGCTCCCCCTCACCTCCCTCTTCTCTGTTCAATTCCCATTCTCCTAATTACATGGCCCGGTGCTTATTCCCGTTCTCCCTCCAGTCACTCAGCGCTGCTTGAATCGCCTCAAGTTGCTGTTGCCACTTGGCTCCGTCTCCCTCCTTTTTTTTCGAGGCTTGAGCAGATGGCTGAGCAATGCTAGCACCAGCAGCATTAGCAGCACCAGCAGCATTAGCAGCACCAGCAGCATTAGCAGCACCAGCAGCAACAGCAGCAGCAGCAGTACCGCCAGCGATACCATCCGTGCTGCCGAGGGCTTGGATGGAAGGCAAGAGACTACTCTGCTGTGTGACCGGGCTGTTCTGGCTCTCGTGGTGCGAGTCAGGTGAAGTCGAATCTAGCAGGTCAATTCCAGCAATAGCATGCGTGTAGCAGGAAAACCCGGAGAATATCCCCGTGCGGGCAGCAGACCTCCTCGGTCTCCTGCTGCTGCTGCTGCTGTCTCTTCTGCTGCGGCGGCTGCTGCTGCTGCTGCGGCTGTGTGCTACTCCCACCACTGCTGCTTCTGCTGCTGTACCTGCTGCTTTTGCTCCTGCTCCTGCTGCTGGTGTTGCTTCTGCTGCTGCTGGTTTGCTCTGGACTTTGTGAAAGGCTGTTTCAGCACCACCAGCAGCACCAGAAGCATCACCGCCTGTAGCACCACCACCAGCAGTGGTCTTGTCAGGCAAGGTTTGTTTTCTTCTGCGCAGATGACAGGTCATGTGGCCGCCCAGAGCCTGTGACGTGGCAAAATTGAGGCCACAGAAGGAGCAAGCGTACCCCTCCGGCCGCACATGGCGCGTCCCAATGGGCGGCAGACTCATGATTGCCCGGCGGCGAATCTCAATCAAATCCGCATCAAGCGTATCTAGCCCGTCAAATGTCGAGTTGAAAGAGTCAAACGAGTGGCGAAATTGCGAATTGTTCCGAGCGCCCCTCCTACCAAAATCTCCTGCCGGTTGGGAAGCAGATTGGGGAAACCACCGTTTATCTGTGCTTGCCGTTGGTCCCTCTATGCTTCTCATCTCCAGCTGCTTCCCCTCTGGATTCCTCCACTCACTCCCACTTGATGTCTGCCCTATCCCCGTTATAGAGTCACAGCGTTTTGCTCCAGAAGTGACCCCCCAGCTCCTCATTTCCCCGCCTACTTTAGTCGGACCATGCGGTTCTTCTGGAGCTTGAGTGGAGCCGGAGGGTGTCCTTGAAAAAGCCATCTTCTGGAGAAGGGCATTTCGGAGATTACTCCTGTCACTCAGCCGACTCCAGTCACTCCTGTTTGTAGCAAAAGTCATTTCTGAATGAGTTTGCCCCTGGCTGGCGAATCCATAACCGCCATTGCTCAAACTGTGACTGTAGTCGATGGTGTGACTCAAATGAGGGCGCTTGTTCGCAAAAAGAGGCTCTGAAAACTGCCGCCCCACATTTGCAATAGCTGCTCCACCCGAATCGCGCTTGCCAAGAACACTCCGCGGTTCCAAAAACGAGAGCGACCCAGTAACGGGGATTCCATGGTTCCCAACAGGGGCCGAATGAAAAGTTGCTGAGCGGCGAGCAACTGCGAAACCGAGATTTTCGCTGAAGCCACCCGCGTTACAATCTCCGCGACGCCGCCCCGTTGGTGTTGCTGAGTTAAGCATCCCCAGATTTTCAACACCAGATCTTCCCGCCAAATCTCCACTCGGCTTGTTCACTTCGTAGCAATTTTCGCTACCCATCGTCGCACAGCTATCCATCCCCCAGCTGTTCATAAGCAATTTCGGCGATTTGATAATGCCAGCAGAACCCGCCGAACCACCCGCAGTCACGGCGTAAGGGTTTCGAAACTGAGCTGTCGCTCGCGATTCGGATTTCCAGGACATGGATGCGATTTCCTGGCGGCGCCCGTTCCGAACGTCTGTCGCGCTTCGTACATGATCGCAGCTCCCCCCACTCAATCCGCAGCCGCCGCTTACCCCGCTGCTTCCAGCCCACGCTCCGCCAGTGTCGAAAATCGCGAAGTCCTTCCAGCTCAGTTTCTTTTGCGACAGCGAAATTCGCCTTCCTTCCACAGCTGTCGCAGCAGCTACCGCAGGCGATTCTGACGGCGCTGTAGCCAAGACGATGCCACGTGCGTCGTTGAACCTTCCCAAAAACGCCGCCTCCGCCGTCGCTGGAGCCGACTCCGTCAATGGTGCCGCGTCAGGACGTCGCAGTTCCGGCGCAGCGTCAGCAGCAGAGGTAGGAGCGGCCGCATCCGCGCTAAGAGCCGATCCATCCTCCTGCTGTATCGGCGGTTCGTTCAGGTCAAAACCCGACGCGATGCCGGCAGCGCTGCCGGCTCCGCCATGCCGCACTGGCTCGACGATGGAGCTCCGATGCCGTTTCGTTGGCGAATCGCACGATTCTGGTGGTTTCGATGGCTCTACGCAAACGCTGTTGTCACGCGAATGCTCTGGCAAAGGGACGCCTGCATCGAAACGATCGCCGTCATTGTAACCGTCGTCGTCGCTTCGCGGGCCCCTCCCGCCAGCGCTCCCGTCAGCTGGCGGAGTCACAACGCGCGCGCATTGCACTGACTCGGCGGAGCTCGGGGACGCAATCTTCGCGCAATCCTTCGCTACGCCCCCCCGTCCGTTTTCTGCACCCTTTTTCTCCACGCAATCCCCCCAAGCTCTTCCGAAATTTCGCTCGGCTTGAGGAACAAACGAAGTGCGCTCAGCGGCGGTCTTCCGTCGCTCCTCCTCCGCGAAGCTCTCTCCCCTGCTCCAGTTTCCTCCAGCGCCGACGTCTTTCCGTGGAAAAATTCCGCCAAAAAGGGCCTCCATGGCTCCGCTTGATACGCCTGCGCCACTTTTTCCGCCTGCGCCTATTGTTCCGCCTGCTCCGCTTGTTCCGCCCGCTCCGCTTACTTCGAGCCCGACTCGCAGTTGTGTCAGACGTTCACAGCGGAGCTGCGCGAAATTTTGCCGCATGGCGTCGTTCAGCGGAAGCGTTACCGCGGGAGAAGGTCGAGTCAAATAGTGCTCTGAAGAGAGGAGGTTGAGAGTCTTGGTGTCTTCCCGAGCGAAATCTTCGCCGTCGAGGCGTGAGCCATTGCCGTCGCTATCTTCCGTCCGTCGTTGTAAGTTCTCGCGACGCCAGCCGTTCCATCCTATCGCTCGCTCGTTCCCAAAGGCGTCAAACGGCGTGTTTCGAAAAACCCCCAGCTCGATACTCGCTCTTTCCTGCCATGGCGCAGCCATTCTCACTTTCAGATTCTTCACTTGCGGCTGGTATTCCGCAGGGCTTTCAGGGTGGCAAATGGAGAATTTACGATAGGACTGCTGCTGTTGGCGACTGGATAAGGTGTCGTGCAGTTTTTGTACATATGGACGGGTGGTGAAATTTTCATATGGGGCTTCAGATGCTGCTCTTCTCTACATCTTGCACTGGAAAATCGACGGTGTTGGGAAGAGAAAACTCTGCGTTCTCGTTGACATGGTTGATCCGTTACTGTACACAGTGCTTCGGACGGATGGGGTGGGGTACCATAGTGAAAGAGGCATAGTGTAGAGTTCAAAATGCACCGTTGAAAACTTTTAGGAATCCTTCAAACTCGGTGGGAGGCCACAACTGCTGGTGAGTGCTTGTAATTTACAGTACCTTGTGGGAATTGTGTAGACTCAACTTGAAAATTGACATTAGATCTTCACAACCACACCTCTACACCACGCGCAATTTTTGTGACAAACCGTGGTCTCATGCATCATCCTTCAGGGTCAGGGTGACCTCAATCGTCCGTTCTGTGAGCTGTCGTGTACACCCTCATTCTCAGTCTGTGCACAATCGCCACATGAACATGCCAGCTGTAATGACATCAATGCGTCCAACATGGTCCAAGAACATACGCTGTAAGCACATTTGCCGTACTTAACCGTACGAACAACTAACTGTAAGTTTACATACCGTTGTTTACCGTCCCCGGGAGTGCGTTTGCCCGCCACCTACCTAGAGTTCGGCTCCAAGCACCAGATCGCTAGGGTCCAAGCAATCAGACGCACTGTAGCCAGTGCTCCCAATTGTGCGTAGACTGAGAATGAGGGTGTATTCAGGTCGCCAACTGGACTCTGCAGAAACAAGTTGGCCAGCTAGTCAGGAGGTGGTTCCGTATTTCCTCCCCACCACAAGAATATTCTGGCACGCTGCACAGATGATGTCCCGAGCTTGACTTGGCCCGTTACAGTATCCCAGGTGTGGGATGCCATGCCAGCAGTGAGCCATCATGTTGAACTGGAAAAATAGTTTGTTTGAACTACACTGGAATCAGTGCATATGTCCAGTGTACACCCTCATTCTGACTTGCATATGTTATACTGACCGGGACGCTTAGTGTAACCGCAGCGGACCAAAGTAGGTCTTATCACAACGCTTAGTGTTGTACTCGTTTTACACTCCCAGTCGCCACATTCTTTTTTGTTTCCCACAAAAATTTCCAGCTACAATTCGTGCGCATTATTACACACCGCAGCTATTGTTCTTTGCACACGCATGATACGCCACGGGATATGTCCAGGGCTCATGATGTGTTTTTGGGGAACCCTGCCTGATGCGAGTCTTGACTAAGGTAACGCCCGCCAT